TTGCTTGGATTCTGGCCCTATTTTCTTACCTATAAAATCTAAAATTGTTCAACACATATTTATTGAGCACCTAGTCTGTGCCAGATAATCCTTGTCTCCAAAGAGAGATAGATGCTTGAGTCTTCAAGGAATGAGGGCAAATCACCCAAGGGTGACAAGGAGGGGCAATTAATAGTTGGCAGAGTATGACATGAGCCTCAAAGGAGCTGGAGATTTGAAGGAGTATCGAGGGACAAGGAACAACTGTGTAGACGCAGCAATAAAGAGTGAGGAAGACCTGCCCACCTCTAGGCACTGTGGAGTGTGGACGTGTGAGAAGAGTCACCACTGAGCATGTGTCTGGGGGACGCTGTCCTTAGTGGCAGCCAGGTCTGTGGTTAGCACAGGTAGTGGGAGGGAATGTTCAGAGAAGAGGAATGTAGGGAATTTTACCTGAGTTTCGAACTGAAAAGATTTGAAAGGCTGGAGAGAGTTAACTGGATCAGACTAAGGACCAGAGCTTTAAGTTGTTAGCACCGGGAAGTAGTGGCTCTTAATATCATCACTACAGTGAGGGTCAGTGCTGACAGATGCAACAGAGCAGACAGTGGGGTATACACTGTGATAAGGCTATTGGTATTCATTCATTCATTCAATCATTCAATCCTTTTTCATTCTTTAAGAGACTTAGTCATCAAAGCTTCCTGGTAAGAATACTGGGGATGGGAAAGGGAAAGAACCTGAGCCTGGGCGCAGTCTTCCCCTAAGAGAAGGCAGCTTCTTCCCTGTAATTTCCATATTAACAGTAGATGAACCTCTTGTCCTCTGCCCCCCTGGCTTCTCTGATCTGAGACACAGGATTTCATCAGCTACCCCCAGGCCTAGAGAGTGGATTGCATCACGTCAGAGAATGACTAAGCCACCCCATGCAGCTCTCTTTCCAGCAGGGCCCACCTCCCAGGCCTGGGACAGACCTAAGTGACTCACATTGCCTGTCCACAGAGTACCCAGGACCTAGGTGTCCCGGACATGCTGCCGGACGAGGAGGGGCCGAGGTCTGTGGGAACACGGTTGAAAAGCCTGTATCGCCTAAGACTTGGAAGAAGTTAAGAGGCATGGTTCTTCTGGGATGAGAAAAGGGGTTAGAAACTTATGTTCTCTAAGCCCTGGGAAGGGAGGCAGATAGGCTGTGGCACTTCTAGAGCAGATTTCCCAGTCACAGAGCATTGGAGGGTAGTAGTCAGAAGAGGGCACCAAGCTCCGGGAAGGTGCATTTTAGCGTGGTTGTGTCCCAGGAGTCACCTGGGCTGCCCAACTGACCTCTATTTCATCTTTCCTTCCAGTCCTGGACGCACAATATTCAGCGAGAGAAGGAGTTTCTGCGGAAGCTGGTGAAAGCGCATGTCATCACAGACCTAACCAGTGGCATCTGAGGTGGGCCCAGCACATGGCCACGGAGGTCCCGGCATCATCAAGAGCAATCAGCAGCCACCGCCACCTGCACACTTCACTGGCCTTGATCTGGCTCTGCCTGAGAGGCGCGGGAGTCTTTAGACCCAGAGGACAGTGCCAAGAGGCCCCAGGTGTGGTGAGGCCTTGGTGGGGCAGCTGGAGCTATGTCTGCTCAGCGGCCAGCCTCAAAGACCAGCACTTGGCCTCACTCTCAGCCTGGGTCCGTGAAGCCAGAGGGCCAGGAGGCCACTGGCCAGGCCCAGCAGGCCCAGCATGCAAGAGGTGGACACTGGCAGCAAGACTGCTGCCGGAATTATTTCTCCAATCAGTGTTTGGTGTATTATCATTTTGTGAATTTGGGGGTGGGGGGGAGGGTAGGGATAATTTATTTTTAAATAAGGTTGCAGATGTCAAGTTTGGTCCACTTGCCATGCAGAAAGAGGCCCACTAGAGGGCCCATCAGGCAGTGGTACCAGTGGGCTCCCTATAGAGGGGGAGTGCCATGACTAGACTGTACGATGCTCCAAGGCAACAGAGAGGTGGGCAGAACTCACGCCAGGCCTCTCCAGCTCATGACACTATTTGGCCTTTCTTGGGGAGAAGATGGGGTATTCCCACACACCAGCCCCTACCCGTCCCACAGGGACACTCTGGAGCCATGCTTTAAGCCAACAAGACAGCCCCTGGGCTAGAGCAGAGAACTTCAGAGCTCAGGAGGCGAGGCCTGGCCCAGCCTGGTGGAAACGGCCCCCTCCCCAGCTGCTACTGATCCATAGGACAGTGCCCCAGGCCTGGACTTAACTTGGCAGCTGTTCTTGGTTTCAGCAATGAGACTGCCAGGTCCTTGGGTTCTGCCTTTAGCCTGGACCAGAGGGAAGTGAGGCTCAAGGACCTTACCCAGGCTGTGGCAGCCATCCTGAGCAGCCATCATGGAAGCAATAAAGCTATTCCCTGAACCTGCCCTCTTGCTTTCCCTGACTTTCCTGGAAGAAACAGCAACCTGGGGCCTCAGCACTTATGCTAAACTCAAGGGCCATCTCTCCAGCCCATAAATTCCTGGGTCCCTTTCACATCTCATGTCAACTGCAGGACCTGGGTAGCCACCTAGGGGCCTTCTGGAGCCTCTCCTGTCCCACACAGTCCTGTACCCCCTTTGCCTTAAAACAGGTAGACCAGGGATACCAGGGCCTGCCCCAGAGTCTACCCTGGTACCTCCTAAATGAGCCAGAGGCAGGGGATTGAAGTCCACAGTCCTAGGACAGTGCCTCTGAGGTACCATAGCCCCAGCACTGCAGGGACAGAGATTCCTGCAAGCACAGGAAAGATATGCTGCTCAGCCCTAAACGCAGAGAGGCCCGCAGACCTAACCCATCCTGTCACCCCTGGCTGAGCTCTGGAAAGGACACGCACATCCTTTCCCCTCAGACTCCCTCTTCCCACACAGAGCAGGAGGGCACAGCCCAGCTCTAGGCACCCTCTGGCAAATATCAGAGAGGACGTCTCTTCCCATCTTACCCCTTAGAGCCCTGGAATCTGATCCCCGTTTCCCCAGCATCCCCATGCAGGCCTGCACCTGAGGCCATGGCATGAGCTTCCAGCCATATTTGCCACCTTGACAGTAAGTGGCACCTCGCCTCTCACCTGCCATCCTCATCCAAGAGTCCTGGCCATCCTAAGGACCACCAACTTCCCACGTATCCCCTTACTGCTGTGGTTTGTCCTCAGAAGCCTCCTCAGCTGAGGGGAAAGCAAGACCCTGACTGTGGGTCCAGCAAACCCAGAAACTCCTTTTGGATTAAGCAGGGGCGCTATGATGCACAACTCCAATGTATGTTGTATTCTGCGTGAATGGCGCCCCCTTGAGTTGTACAGGGCATAGGCTGCATGCCTGCAAGCCATAGCCATGGCTGATAAGGCCCCAGGGAAGCCACCCCAACTGGGCAGCCAGTTGTGGGAAGCAGCACAGAGTGGAGCTGCTCACCTCTTGGCCCCCTGTCCCACAGGGGACCTTCAAGCCTGTAGACAGCCCCCACCACCACCAGCAGCAGTTCTCTGCAGTCTAGCTGGTAGTTCCAACACCCATGCACAGAAACTGCTCTCACAAAAGCTATGGTTCTCAGCCGTGGCTGTACACCAGGATCACCTGTGCAGATCTGGAACACTACACATGTCCACACCAAGATTCTGATTCAGGTCTGGGGTGGGGCCCGGATGTGGATAGTTTTAAAAGGTCCACAAGTGGTTCTGATGCATAGTCAAGATATAGCTGGTCCACACACGTTCCCTGAGCACTTTCATCCCCACCCACGGCTTCCAATCATCAGTTGGTTGACAATTCCCAAATTGCCATCTCAAGCCCAGCTCTCTCCACTTTGCTCCAGGCTACAAATTCAGCTGCACCCTAAATACACGAGGATAATCCACAGGTCCTTCCCATCCAACATGTCCAACATCGAACTCATGAGCCCCCACTGCCAGAATGCATCTCCTCCACCTGGTCACCCAGGCCAGAGGCATACTGTTTGTCTGCCCTACCCCCTCACCCCACCAGCTGAGTTCTCAAGAGCCCATGAAGCCTCACACTCCCCACCATTCAGATCCCGACTCCACGCCCCTAGCAGCCTCCTGACATATCTCCACCTCTCACCTCCAAACCATCCTCCCCACTGCAGCCAGTCAGTCACTGAAATGCATGTAGGATATACCACTCATCTGTCCGAAGCCCTCTGGTGGTTCCCAGTGTCATTAGGATCAAGTCCAGACTCCCTGGTATGACACAGCATCAGGCCTTTCCTTACCTTCATCCATGTTACCCAACCTCCATCCCACCTGCCAAATTGCCATTAATTAGGCTCCTGAAATACTACCCTCCAGCTCCTACCTCCAGCCTGAATGCAAATGTTCCTCCTCCATGACCCTCCCCTTCTCCAGCCCTGGGCACCCACTCCTACAAGTACTGTCCTCGCAGTGTGGGTGAGCAGCGGGCATTGCAGGAGTGTCTCTACTCGAAGCCCCAGGCAGCGCAGGAGGGGAGCGGTGAAAAGCCTAGAGCAGGGGCAGACCTTGAAACCCCCAGGGCAGTGCCTGGCCTGCCCAATGACTTTGATGGGTCCGTTGAGAGAAACCAGCGGTGGACCAGAGAGCCGAGAGCAGTCACTGCGGGGCGGCCAGCCAGGACCCCGTAGACGATGCAAGCCAGAGGCCCGGTAGCCCAAGGCAGGGACCAGCCTGTCCCCTCCCTCTCCCGCCCTCAGCCCAGCCTCCCAACTCCCTACTTCGCCTGTCTACAAACTCTGAACGCCCACTTTCCGTGCCTCCGCCGCCCGGGATCTCCACTCTGTCCTGCCTTCTCCACTCCCAGCGTCCTCCCCTTCACTTTGGGGGACTTAGCCGAGCCGGGAGGGGGGTGGGGGGTGGGGACCGGATCCTGCCGGGTGGAGCGGCCAGGTGAGCTCTGAAAGGTGGGGCGGGGTGGGGGCACTCTGGGCCCCACCCCAGGATCCGGTGACGCTGGGGCTGGAATTTGACACCGGACGGCGGCAGGCATGAGGCTGCTGAGGGATGGAGTTGGGCCCGGCCCCCAGACACAGCCCACGGGCTCCGCCAGCAGCAGGTCCCTCGGCACCAAGCGCTTGCTCCGCCCCAGATCCACGGTAAGCCAACCTGTTGGCCCACCCCTCATCCCAGCTCCACGGGGAGCAGGCAGGAGAGTCCCCCACTACTCCTTTCTCACATCCTCCCTCTCCGGGCCGCTGCGCAGCTCTCCGCCCCTCCCAGCCCCCTCAGTCCCTCTAGCCGCTAGTCAGACTGTTCTAGCCTTGCCGGCCCACTGTACTGTGAGGCTCCTGCTGCTGCTACAGGGCGCAGACTGGCAGCCAAGGCCACGCTTTTGGCTAAAAGAGGCACTGCCAGGTGCACAGCCCTGGGCATGAGCCTTTTGAGCTGCCAGGGAAAGTCCAGCACCGGTCCCAGGGAAGGTGCCTAAAAGAACACGGCGCAGGACTCTCGTGGTGAGTATATGGCTGGCAGATGGGGAGGACCAAGTGACCCCAGACTACCAGGAGGGAGAAATAGGGCCTAGCTGCTCTCAAGAGACCTGTTCCTGGGCTCCCCCTAGCGCAGGGGGCCCTGCAGGCTTCCTTGCCCTGCTTTCCCTCAGTGAGAATATTCACTGACCTGGCCCCTCAGGGGCCCTATTCTGTTAGTCGAGCACACATGAAATGGACCGCACTATCTCAGTGGGATGGACTTGCTGCTGGCAGAGACCTGGGGAGGTCTGACGCACAAGTATGCAGATGTTCCGTGTGCTAGGGGGTGGGGGTATAAGGTGACAGCTGGGGTCCAAGAGCAGGCCAGCTAGTGAGGGTTCATGAGGGCTCTGGAGCCCCAATGGGTGTTTGGGGAGTGCCAAACATTGTGGGCTCACAAAAGCTGGTGGGGCTCAGGAGGGTTGGCTGGGCTCAAGAAGGATGGATCGTGGGGGAAACTTCTAGGAGCAGGGCCAGGCTGTCAGATCCACAGGAAGCTGGAAGGGAGACAGACCTGGACCAGCTCTCAGGGTGGCTCAGATCTTAGAGAGGAGGCTGCTGTGGAGGCCTGGCTGGCCATCCTGGAAGTTGCTCAGGCCTGAGCCTGGCTGAGGGTAGGGGAAAGCCCACCCCACTTTGGGTCTGCAGGCTTGGCAGACACTGCCCCCTGGTGGCCATAGGGAACCCAGGCCCCATGTTCTTAGAGGATCCATCAACCCTCACCATCTGCTAGCTCTTGATGGACAATCTGTGGTCAAAAGAGAGAACTCAGGAACAGAGGGGCAAGGTGCAGCAGCGCTGGGTGGGCAGCACAGGCTGGGGCCTGGGTCTCCTATCATCAATAACTCAGGTCAACCAGCCAGCACTCTAATTCTTCTTCAGGCCACAGCTTCCTCTTCTATGTCATGGAGAGAAAGCTCTCTATGGGACCAAAGAGGTCCAGCTACTCCCTTCTCCAGCTAGTCCCAGCTTCACCATTCCTGCAGGAGAGACCAGGAAGGTCCTGGGGGAGGGAGGGAGGCAGGGAACTCCCATTCCACACACGCCTCCCTCCTCCCCCCACAGCTCTGTGGGTCTAGCCTTGTGACCTTAGACGATGGCTGAGCTTCTCTGAGCCTTATTTGCTCATTTGGAAAATTTACCCTTTACTTCATGGAGTTGTAAGGACTGAGAGAGGTAACAGTTCCTGAGGCAGCTATTTCTCCTGGGTTGAGCCCAGCTAAACCCCTTGTTCCTCACCTGGAGACACTGGAGGGATGGCCTAATCAAAGGACAACTCATCTCTCAATGTTCCAAGCTGCCTCAAGAGGAGGGTAGGGGACAGGTCAACTAGGCTGATGGGCGCTCCTGGTATTGACAGAGATGGAGCCTGGATGTAGAGGCCCTTCTGTGCTGCCCTGCAGGCCCCCGCCTAGGCGGCAGGTGAGTGGCTCTCCCAATGACTCCCACCTGGTATTGAGGGAAGGTGGTTTGACTGGGGAGGGAAGGCAATGAAGAGGAAAATGGTCACGGAGGGACCAGGTGTATGGAGGAAGGTCATTGCCCTCAGATGATTTCTCCCTGGGCTCCCTTAGGCAGCAGACCTGTTATCCTCCAGCCTTAGCCCTTCCTAAGCTCCTCACACCCAACTAGGAGCCCATCACCCTCTCTGATCTCCGCTGCCCCAGGGAGTCCCTGGGCTCCCTCCACCTTGAGCCCACCAGGGCGCCCTCTTTCTCCCTGAGGCCCCACTTTATCTTTCTGTGCAGCCTGCCTTGTGGCCAACCCTAGCCGCTCTGGCGTTGCTGAGCAGCATTTCCGAAGCCTCCCTGGGCCCGGCGCTCCGCAGCCCCGCCACCCGCGAAGGCCCCGCGCCTGCCCCGGCGCCCCGCGCCGGCCACTTGCCCGGTAGGTGAGAGGGTGAGGAGCTTGGGTGGGGGCGGGGCTGTCCCGCTACCCCGCCCGTGACTCCGTCTCATTCCAGAGAGCCGCGCGGCCCGTTGGTGCGGCGGAAGAGCCCGGCGGCCACCGCCCCAGCCCGCCCCCCCACCGCCCGCGCCCGCGCCCTCGCCCTCCCGTGGGAACCGCGCGGCGCGTGCCAGGGGCCGGGGCGGTCGCGCGCGGGCCCCGGGATCGCGGGACCCGGGACCGAAGGACTGCAGCCTGCGCTCGCAGGTGGTGCCGGTGCGCTTGCTTGGCCTGGGCCACAGCTCGGACGAGATGGTGACTTTCGGCTTCTGCACTGGCTCTTGCCGCCGGGCTCGCTCCCCGCACGACCTCAGCCTGGCCAGGCTGCTGGGTGCTGGGGCCCTGCGGGAGATTCAGGGCGTGCGGCTGGTCAGCCAGCCCTGCTGCCGACCCACGCACTATGAGGCCGTCACCTTCATGGACGTCAACAGCACCTGGTGGACCGTGGACCGGCTCTCAGCCACTGCCTGCGGCTGCCTGGGCTGAGGGCTCTCTCCAAAGATTGGCAGATGTCACACTTACCTGGGGATCTTACTGCCTGGAAGGGGCCGGGTGCCTCGGCCAGAAATGGGGGCAAGTGATGGGCATCAGCCCTGGACAGATGGAGGGACAACTGACCAGCAAGCAGCCCATGGTCCTCACCCTGCGCGTCCCAGCCCAACAGACACCAGAGACCTCAGCTATGGAGAACTTAGGACCCACTTCTCACAGACTCTGGCACAGTCCAGACCACAGACCCAGGACTCCTCCTCTGAAGAACCCAGCAGTGTCTGAGGTCTCAGCCTCAGCCCAGGCCCCAGGGAGACAGAATTGGAGGAGATACATTACAGTCGTATTGCTGAAGTGCCTATGCTAGAGTGGGCCTGGTACTCACTCCTGGGAGCTGGACCCCTATTTATTATTTCTAAGTTATTTATTTACTTCTGTGGTTTGTCAGATCTTTTCCTGGGCAGTGGGGGCTGAACAAGTAGAAGCTGGTGTCTGGAGATCATGCCCTGACCATCCCAACTGCAAGCTGACTCAGCAATCACAGGCCTGACCCAGATCTCCAACTGCTTGTTCCACCCAGCAGCCCTGGGACATGGGGAAGAGCGGGGAGGGAGGGGCATGGAACACAGAATGGGTGGCAAAGGTGCATTCACCAGTCCTGGCAGGCCAGCTCACAACCCCTTGCACAGCCCCCAGCACTTGGGACTTGGGGTTATGGGTAGAGAAAGCCCTACCCTTGTGACCTCAGGCACCCTGGGGGCCTTGTTTAATGGGGACACAGAGAACCACACATTGCTCCACCCCACCCTCATAGATCAGTGTCCTACCCTCCAGGGCACCCTGCAGGTGCATTCACTGACTCTACTTGCAGATGATCCAGCATGGGGAGCTCACTACCCATATTGCATGAAGCAGCCCAGGGCAAGAGAGCGCCTGAAGAGGCCAGTGGAAGCCTGGCTTAGGGAGGTGAAGCACAGAGCATCAAAGGGTTAAGAATGCAGGAAAGGACTGAGGGCCCCAAGAGGGCCCTACATCTTGGGTGATGAACAAGGATATTCATTCAACAAATATTTACCTCTTAGATGTCAAATACTGCCTAGACCCGAGGGATACAGAAGTGAAAGGGACATGATCGCTGCCCTTAAGCTTAAACTAGAGACAGACAATAAATAATTACATGAATAATTATTTAAATTTAATTGGGCAAGTAGTATGAAAAAAAGACAGGAAGCTAAGAGGTACACACCTTCAACTGGAAGAAGAGGCTAGTGCTGACCCTGACCTTGCACACTGTCCCTGAGTCATCTCCCAAAAGTCAACGCCATCGCTCTGAGCTGTTCTGCATGTCCTCTGAAACCTTGTTTCCTGGGTCCTATGAATCTGTCCTCTATGATTTTCCTCTTTGGAAATAAGATGGGGATATGTGTTTGGAAAGGATGCTGAGTCTGAGGAACTGTGGGCCATCCAGAGGAGCTGTCGGGGGGACAACGAGATATGCTGGTCTGGAGTTGAGGAGGGAGGTCTAAGCTAGAGGTAGATTTGGCAGCTATGAGCAGAGGCAGTAGCTGCAGCCAGGATGCATGAGAGCACCATGAGGGAGGCCGGGTAAGGGTGGGATACCGCAGGCATTTGACACTGCTGACCAAAATTCCTTCCAAACTGCTGAAGTGCCTGCCTGCTTTGGCACAGGTACCTCTTTCGCCCAAACTAGAGTAGGGAGCCGGCAAGAGTTCTCTGAAGGCTGTGCACATTCTGGGTCAAGGAGGAGAAACAAACCTGCTTCCACTTTTCTGTGTTCACTGCCCCAGTCCTAGGTGCTCCCAAAACTTTGGTGCTCTCCTGCTGCCCTCAAACACACCCTTGCCCACTCTTTCTGCCTCCAAAGTGATTCAAGATCCTCAGTCTCCAAACACCCTCCCCTCAAAGGAAACGGTACCACTGCCATACCATTTGCACCCACCTCATAAAGGCCTGGGCCCTGGCCCTGGTTGAGAGGGAAGGGGGACATCCTGTCAATTCTAGGATGATTGGGGCTAGGGAGACCCTGCTGGAAAGACTTGAAAGCCTGACCTAGTCCCCAACCTCTCCATCCCCCGCCTCCTGGTAGACATCTCCACTCTCAGAGCTATTTAAAGGAGATTAATTGAAGCCACCTCTGTCAATGCTCACAGCAAGAGAGGCAGGTCAGAACCCAAGCCAAGGATGTGGGCTCTCAACACCCCCCAACATTGCTGGTCATTGAGGGAGTAGGACCCCCCCAACTCTAGGCTGTATTCTGGGCCCCGGAAAGATTGTGCCCAACATCTCACAAAATCCCAGATGAAACGGCAACTTCTCCAAGAGGAACATTCCCACAAGAAGTAGTATCAGTTTGCAGCTCACAACAACCCAACTCCCTCTTTAAAAAAAAAAAAAGTAATAATAAAGCTATTTTCCCCAAAGGAAACAAGCTGCAGAGCTACCCATCTCTGCCTACAATTTAGCTGAGGTCACCTGGCATGTGACCCACCAGGCAGAGCACTTTCACACCTGGGGGCCACAGGTGGCTCTGGAATCTCAATTTTTTACTGTAGTCTTTGTTTCACATTTGCAAAACTACATGGCCCATTTGAGTGGTCTTCCCAGAACAATAGCATGGTCTCCAAAGGGGTATCAAGTAACTACTACCTCCTGTAAGATGGAAAACTACAGGTGGCTTTAAAATAACTGTTTTTCCAGCTTCAGGAAGCACCCGAAACTTCCCTCTAGATTTGTTTCATCCAGGAATCAAGCTTGGGAGTTTCATATGCTCCCCCTGCCCATGCCAATGGCTTGCCTCCTCTCTTGTCCAGGGATTGTCGTATTTCCCCTGGGTAGAGATCCCTGACAGAGTATGTGTGGACTGGCTGACTAGATGATGTCTCATCTTGAAAAGGAGAGGGTGGGTAGAAAACTGAGAAATCAGAGGAAAGATCTAGAATGTGTGCCATGTGAGATCACCTTTCTTGTTCACAGGAGTGCTTCTTAACCTGTTTTGGAGTTGTGGAGTCCTTAGAGAATCTGATAAAAGTGAACGATTCTCCCTACCACACCCCCCCAAAAAAATGCTGAAAAAAAACCACTGATGTGTAAATTTGGTAAACAATTTTAGAGGGTTCACAGACGATGAAGCTCATTCAGAGATTCCTTAGGAGTCCATGGCCCTCGAGATATCATGCTCTGTTCTAGATACCATTATTAATGTCCTCCTGTAGCTAGAATAACTCCTCCGTCTGTACTCAGAACTCCATATCATGGCTCTTGGTTTCAGTAATTTACAAGCCTCCCCATCTTCAACCTTTTTCTATTGAATGTCTCCTTTCCCTCTGCCCCTAAACTTGCTCAAAAATACCACAGTGTTAAAAAACTGGACACTGTGATTACAAATATATATATATATATATATATATATATATATATATATATATATATATATAAAATCTGAGCTCTTGCTAAGGTCACCAGTGGCCTCATGATTACTAAACCCAAAGGCCACTTCTTAGCCTTTAGTCCTTTGAACTCTCAGAAGCATTCAACTTTGTCAGCCCTCCTTGAAATTCTGTCTTCCCTTGACTCTTTTAATCCCATACTCTATTGCTTTTTCTTCCACCCCTCCAGCTGCTCATTCTCAGACTATTTGGGGGCTCCTTTACCTCTCGCTGCCTCTTAAGTGTTCCTCAGGGCTCTGATATAGGCCTTCTTCTCTTCCTACTCTTCTCCTTGAGCAATATTATCTACGCTCATGGTTTCAGTCATCGCTTCCATGTTGATGGTACACACATAGTACCTCCAGCCTGGCCCTTCCTCCTGAGCTCCAAGTCCATATTTCCAATACCTCTATCTGCATATCCTCTGAAATCTCAAGCTTAACATACCTGTCCTGTAAATTTTCTGTTCGCTCCTTCAGATCCATTCTCCATGCTTCTCTACCCTGCTCTGAGCCTCACATCAACGAGCTTGTCTGCTCTCCATCCAGTGACACAAGCCAGACACTGGGGCAACATCCTAGACTCCTTGAGCTCAGTCACTTCCCTTACCCATTGGTCCTCAAATATTTAAACCTTCCAAGTCCATCCCCTTTTCTCTATTCCCAATGCTATTCTGTGGAAGTCTTCATGATTTGGAGTCTAGTTTAGTCCCCAAACTGGTCATCCTCCTAACTGGTCTCTTTGTCTCAGGTCTCGACTCCCTCTAGTCATTCTCAACCCTACAGCCAGAGAAGTCAACATTCTCTTAACATTAATTGAGCACTAACTGTCATGCACTGGGCTAGTTATGGGAATTCAGAGGTCAGACAGAAACATGTTCTGCCATTAAGAAGACCACAGTTGGAGGTGGAGGTGGGGGAAGGGTGCCAGGTTTAGCAAATAAAAATACAGGACATCCAGTGAAACTTGAATTTCAGGTAAACAATAAATACTTTATTTTTATGTCTCATGCAATAATGGCTGGTATTCACATTTAACTTGGTTTCCTGTATTTTTTCTGGCAATCCTAAATGGGGGTAAACAAGTAAACAAAAAATGCAACCAACCATCATAAGTCCCCCAATAGAAGTATAACTAGGATACAGTTGTGTATGTCAGGGTGGGAGAGGACTCAGTTCCACCTGGATGGAAGAGGAAGAAGAGCCAGGAAAGCCTTCATGGAGGGAGGTAGCACTTGAAATGAGCCTTGAAAAATGAAATATTTGCAAAATATGAATGAGTGGCATTGGGCCTGTACTGACTCTCCTTTATCGCCTTCATTATCTCTCAGCTTGAAATTCGCCCTTTTCACTGACCATGCCCTGTCTGTCGAAGTCTGGGTCTCAGCCTTGGGCAGGGGTGGGGGATGAGGGCCTCTTCCTGGGCACTCTATCTCATCCCTAGAACTCTGCTACTCCTAAATTATTTAAATTTCTCTTCACTTCTTACTAGCCAATCACTCTTTACTTCAATCCCATTACAGTTCAAAATTCTTATATTAAACTGTCTCTGTGCGCTCACTCTGTGGTTTCTCCTGATTGGTGCCAGCCTGACACAGCCTTCTAAGCAGAGGAAGTAGCATGAACAAAGGCAGGGAAATGTGGAACAGCCTGGTGTGTCCCAGGATAGCCAGCAATTTCATGTAGAATTAGGGGAGGGCCCTCATCTAAGCAAAAGGCTAGAGAGATCGTAGAGATCCTCGAATGTTATACCAAGGAGCTTGGACTTTTTCCTGAATGGAGCCACAGTAGGGTTTTATGTGGGACTGGCTAGAGAGACTATTCAAATGGATCACTGGCTGCTGTGTCTAATATGGACTAGAAGGGGCAAAGCAGCGGGCACACAGCTGCTGCAGTCAGAGCCATTCGGGCAACAAATGCTGGTCTTGATCTAGAGTAGAAGCAATGTGGAAGGACAGAAGAGACATGAGGCACAATGAACAGGACTTGGTGACGAACTGGTTGTGAGGGCTTGATGAAAGGGCTCTGGCTTAGGTGACTGGTAAGGAACACAGACGATGTAGTATGTATTTTTAGCATGTGATGGGGATAAGGTATGGGGGAGGTCATGAGTTTGTTTTCGTACATGTTTAACTTGAGGTGCCTGTGACACCTTCAGAGGACAAGGACTCGCCGGCAGCTGTAACTCAGGATAGTCTGGGCTACAGAGATCTGGGAGTCACAGCTCCAAGCCAAAGAAGTGGTGAGATACTGAGGAATAAGACGAGAAGCAGAGGCAAAGGTCTGGAGCACCAACATTTAAGGAACAGAGAAAGGAAGAAGGGCAAGCCTATGAAGGGGACCAAAGAGAAGTGGTCAGAGTAGTAGAGAAAAACCAAAACAGAACAGGGGGAGGGAGTGGTCAACAGAGCCAAATGCAGCAGTAAAATCAAGTCACATAAGGGCTGAAACTGCCCATCGGGTTGTCTTGCACCATGGTGACCTAGAGATTCAGGGTAACCTTCTTGCTGAGGACAACTAAAAATACTAGATAAAATACATATTTAAAAAAATTAAATGCATCCATGAGCTGGCAAACACACAAGAAATATTCAGGCAAAAAATAAATAAATAAATAGATAAATAGATAAATAGATAAAGGAAAGCAGGAAGCAACAAAGGTAAGCAAAGCTCAGTAGTTGGCTTTCACCTTGAGGGCATTTGCCTTACCTGGTGAACCTGAGCATTGGTTTGTGAGGGCTCCTGAGCTTATGGTGGAAACCTACTCGGAAACTTCTCCATAAGACCAGGGCCCCAAAGGCTACTGCCACACTTAAGAATGAACTAGAAATAATCCTGCCCCTCTTCTACCTAACCTCTCTCCCTCAAACCAGGGGACTACAGAGAAAATTGCTGGCATTTCACCTTGGTGCAGTGGAAGTGGGGAAAACCTCCCCAAAATGCTTAATTACAAGCAGCCCTTATTTGGTTTTGCAGACTGAATCCACAGTATTTGGTAGGCTGAAAAACTTCAAACTGAGAAGTTAATTTGTCATAGATATGGATTGCTGTGGCTCCAGGTGACCAACAGAGGCTCCCCCTCCTCCTCTCCTGAGCCCTGGAATGCTCTGTCCTGAATCTGGGGACCCTCCTAGAGTTATCACAGGTTCTGGCCCCTATCTATCCTATTCTTGTCACTCAGAGGATGGAAAAACCCACCTGTAACTAGCTCCCAAAGATTCATTTCCCGACTTGGCTGTAAGTTATCGTGGATTGCTATCCACATTTCCTGAAGTCCCCTTTGGTTTCGTACCCAGAAATGCCCCAAACCTCCCCAGGCCTATTTCAATCCAATCTGTCCTAGGTGATGTTTGTGAAACATATTCAGGAGCCATTGTTGGTGAGACTTGGCTTCTTTCTCTGCCAGGGGAACCCCCTGGGGCAAGAAGAAACCTTGGATTGGAAGCAGAAAGAAAACACATTCACCAAGTTGTGGTCTCTGGGTCCAGCCCTATTCATATACCATCTCAGTTTGTCCTTCATTGAAGGAATTACTGTTCTCATTTTATTTTTGAAAATGAGTTGCAGAAGAAGTCATGGTCTTATGGCTAGAAAGAAGCACAGGCAGGTTTTGAACACAGGCCTAATTGTCTTAACCCGCCCCCTTTTCTTCTACCTCCCACAGTAAAATCTCTTGTTATTTATCGGGGCCAGGTCATTTCACAGCCCTAAGCACAGGCCTGGAATCAGTTACTTTATTTTGGCTTCCTGTTTCCTCCTTCCAAATCTCGCCTGCCTCTACTCTTTCCTCCTTCAATTTATCCTACATACTACAGGTAGGCTTTTCTAAAATGCAAATCCAGTCATCAGTGCCCACCTGACATCCCATCATCATTTCATATTGCACTTAGGATAAAGTCTAAACTCCTCCAAGAGTTTACTGCTCCCATCTTGTCTTTCCAACCTCATCTGTTACTCATCCCCTCCGCCTTCTTCACCCTATATATATATATATATATATCCCTTCCCCTTAGACTGAACACAAATCACTAGCTGTACTTCACTTTTTTTTTTTTAAGATTTTATTGGGGAATTGGGGGAGGGGAACAGGCAAGTTGTCCTTTTGTTCTTTAGTCTAGTTGTGGAGGACGTCGCTTCACTGGCCAATGTTGGTATTGTGATCATTGAGCTCTTCCCGGGTGAGGCAGATCAGTAGCCAGTCATTGGATGGCTGCTCACGGCAGCTCACACTGGCTGCTGGCCACACACGGTAGCTTACGGCAGCCCACTGCAGCCCCACTGCAGCCTATGCCGATGCGGGCCACTCATGGCAGCCCAGCTCCTCGTCGAGCTGTTGTTCACCATCTTAGCTGTAGAGGGCGCAGCATCACTGGCCCTCATGTGGGATCCGAACCAGGGTCCTGTTACTCAGAGCTGGCTTGGGAGCGCTAGCTTGCCATTTGGCCGGCCCTGTACTTCACTTTCTTGATAAAGATTTGTTGAGTGACTGAAGTCCCATTGGACTTTGCTTACAAGCTAGTCAAGCCCCCCCTCCTCCCCAGTTTCTCCATTCTTCAAGCTCAGATCAAGTTTCTCCTCCTCAGAGAAAACTGTATCCACCTTCTCAGGCCTCCGCAGCTATTGCCAATGCCAGCTTCCTCCACTGAAAACAAGTACAGAGGTCCTTTCCCTTTCGATGTTCCCCTCCCCCCCGTTGGGGTAGCTGGCAAGAGTTAATAAAAGCACAAGTGGAGAGGTACAGGGAAGGGGCTGCTGGGGTCTGCCGGCCAGATCTGTGGCTGGTCTCTGCTACCCTAGCTGAGTGTCCAGGAACAAGATAAACTCAACTTTCCCCAACCTCAGTTTCCTGATCAAATGGGGAACAAAAATACCCACCTCAAAGTTGTTGAGAGAATTGAACCTAAGGTATGCAAAGTATTGTTCCTAGCACTTAAGTGTGAGCTACTCTTATTCTAATTACTCATAAAGAGAAGTTGCTTCCAAGAAACTTATGAAAATCTCCGAGCACTGTCCATGGTATGTGATTTCCTGGATGCTCACTTGGTGATTCCGAGAGCCGTCCTTTTTTATTCCTGAGGCGCGCCTAGCCCCCTTTCTTCTCAGTGGCGCTGACGCCTTCTTCCCAGACGGCCCTCTTCCTGGGCTCCAGGCTGTACCCGCAGCGGAGCACCAAAGTGACACTCGCCCCCCCCCACACACACCCCTCCTCTGTCTGGGCTCCCACCTCCATCCACCGCCTCTTGAGTCACACACTCTTAGGGAGCTGCTCTGCAGCTCCTCCCGACGGTTTGACTCGGAATGTCTCAGTAAGCCTGGGACTCGTGGGGCTCCCCAGGGTCACTAGCCCACGTGCTCCCGGCCTCAGCCTCAAGACACCGACCCCCGCCCCCGCTAGGCGCAGTACGGACTACATTTCCCAGGGTGCGCAGCGGCGGGACCTTGGCTAGGCAAAGGCCTCGAGCGGCCCGCCGCTCTATCGCCTGCTCGGGGTCGCGCCGGCTGGCGCGAGGACAGGACCGAGGACCCGGAATGAGTTTCTGCGCAGTTCCGCTGGGCTGTGCCGGGCTGTGCCGGGCCGGGCCAGGCCAGGGCAGGAGTAGGGAGGGACGGCGCCTGAGTTGGCGTTGCCGGGGACAGGCGCTCGGGGCAGCCCGCGCCTCGCTGAGGTCCTCTCCCCATCCCGGCCGGGCCGGCTCGCCTGTCAGTCACTGGGGCGGAGGCAGAGGCTGTAGCGGGGCCAGAGTCGGGCGGTGAGAAGATCGCGGGCCAGGCCGAGCGGAGGGGACCTGCCACATCCCCTCAACATTACGGACTCATCGCCCCAGACTGTCACAGCTGCACCCCCGCGCTTCGTTGGAACGCCTCCGTAACCCGCGAAGGGCTCTCTCTCCCCCGTGACCTCCCACCTCCGTGACCTCCTCATAAGACCCAGGAGCTCACTCAGACGAGGGTGTTGTGGGTACAGGCCATCGACCCTGTGACCCCTCACGGGCCAGGGGCTCGGTTTCCCCCATAGGCCTCCCTCCCTTATGACTCCCCTCCTCACAGATTGTGGGAACAGAGCGGTGACCTACCACTAGGAGACCCGCCTGAGAGAACTCCTCACTGACGGCTCTCTCCTCAGAATCCCCCTCATTGGGTCTCCTCCTTTTGGTTCTGGCAAGTCCCCCACTCCCAACCGAGGTGGGGAGGCCTCGGCAGCCATGCCCGCCCTGGGGCCCCTGTCACCCCACCACTCCCTGGGCACCCAAGCTGGGGTCTAGCAGGCGGCCAGCAGCCAAGGAGCTGGGGGCAGGAAACAGGTCAGGGTCCACCTCCCCGCTGGGGAGGGAGCAAAGATGGAGCGGCGGGAGGAGCAGCCGGGGGCTGCTGGGGCTGGAGCAGCACCAGCCTTGGACTTCACTGTGGAGAACGTGGAGAAGGTATGAGGGCCCTGGGGTGGGCACTCTAGTGACAGAGCAGAAGTTGTGGGGACTGACACTAATGCCAAGGCCCAGGCCTGGGCGGAGTGCCCGCTGGGATGGTGCCCCCAGGACACCTGGCATTTGCTGTCTCTCTGGGCAGGCAGGAAAGCAGTGTTACAATGTTCTAATGGGCTATTTATGGCTTTCCTTAGACATTGGTCCTCTGTGGATAGATAGTCTTGGGTCTTGGGATGGTCCCTCCCGAGGGTTGATGGCTTAGACCTCCAGCCAGACTGGCTATTTTCCAGCTCCGTGGGAACTGCATGAGCAGTGCAGTAAGAAACCAGGAACCCAGGAGACCTGCAGCTCAGTCCCCAGGAACCATACTGATGCTGAACTATCCTGGACCTGTTTTGTGGAGCCAAGGGGCTCAGAAAATAGTCTGGGGCTAAAACAACCTGGGTTATTTTTCGCCCTTTTTTGGAGAAAGGTCCTTCCTTTATCGGATGGAGGCTAGACCAGCCCGGGGCAGGGAGGAGTAGGGCTGGCCCCCTTGGTTTTGTGCCGGGTCCAAAAGCGCCTGGTCCTACTGGCAGCTTCAGCGTTCTTTCCTACTCACCTGCCCACATAGCTCTCTGCTGTGGCACCCCCAGACTCCCCCACTGCCCGGTTCATCGTTTTTGAAAACTGCTTCTCTAGTTGTCCTCTTCTGGGTTCTGCCCCCCAGAGAACTGGAATGCAGAAATGCATCCCCCCTCCACCCCACCGCCCCATGAATGGGGAGATGGGGCTACCTTGCTGCAAAATAGACAATGGTTGCAGGTATTCCTTTGTTATTCTTGAGCCCTGTTTGCCATACCAAATGGTGAGGATGCATCCTTTCTGCGTCTGTTCTCTGCCTGCCTCTGCATCCCTGAGAGGCCAAACGGGGACAGTGGCCATAACTGGCCTTCGGGGACAGATATAGGGCTAAGCCTACTTGGATGGAGGCAGCTTAGGGAGTCAAGAGTCCTGGCCTTGCTCTTGCACCGCCTGGGGCTAGGCAGTGTTGGCATGGTGGTACACTGTTCCATGTGTGCTACCAGGGAGTTAAACTTCTTGTTTTCTTACTGTGTGAGGTCGCAGTGGAATTGGGACCCTGGGGATTTAGCTAGTTGAGAGCTTCAGGCTCTCATTGCCAAGGCTGTAGGCCAAGACTTCTCTGGACCAGCTTTTTGGACCCTCGCATGCGCTCTCTGAGGGGTGTTCTCATCCTTCTCTCCAGTATGTCTCTGTCCTGGGGCTGCCTGGCAAAGTCTTAGTCCTGCTCAGATTTCACGTTGGCTTTGGTGCCAGCATCTGGACTGACCTAGTGATGATCCTGGGGGAGCTGAATGGAGCTTCTGGAGTTGATGGGAGCAGCTGTGTCTGGGAGGGTCGGGGAGGGTGGGGGGTGGGGTGGAGGGGAGGCTCAGGCTCTTTCATGTCTTTTTCAGGCTTAGTTTTATTCCTATGGAACCATTCCTTTCACCTGGGCCTTGCTCTTTACCTCAAGCGACCCTTCCCCTTTGGGGAGCTCAGCCTCCTCATTTTTATTTATTTATTTATTTTTTTGCTTTCTTGTGGAGATTCACTCTTTGAACCCATAATGTTTTGCTATAAGGAGAAGAGAATATGGTAGAGCATGGGCAAAGTTCAGGTTCTCAAGATATCGGCAGGACCCCGGGCTCGGGAAACCGCAGAACCCTGAGCTCTGCCTTCCTGCTCACCCCCCCAAGTCAGAAAGACAGAGCAGTCTTGCAGGACCCAATCACACCCTCATTTCTGGGCTCTGGCAGAATCTAGAGTTGCCAGCACCTGCTTAGTCCTGTGCTGTCCTGCAGGCGCTGCACCAGCTCTACTACGACCCCAACATTGAGAACAAGAACCTGGCTCAGAAGTGGCTGATGCAGGCCCAGGTATCCCCACAGGCCTGGCACTTCAGCTGGCAGCTACTGCAGCCCGACAAGGTGCCTGAGATCCAGTACTTTGGGGCCAGTGCCCTGCACATCAAGATCTCTCGCTACTGGAGTGACATCCCCACTGACCAGTATGAAAGTCTAAAGGCACAGCTCTTCACCCAGATCACCCGCTTTGCCAGTGGTTCCAAGATTGTGCTGACTCGGCTGTGTGTGGCACTGGCCTCGCTGGCCCTCAGCATGATGCCTGACGCTTGGCCATGTGCTGTGGCAGATATGGTACGGCTCTTCCAGGCTGAGGACTCGCCAGTGGATGGCCAGGGCCGCTGCCTGGCTCTGCTGGAGCTGCTGACAGTGCTGCCTGAAGAATTTCAGACCAGCCGCCTGCCTCAGTATCGCAAAGGCCTGGTGCGGACCAGCCTGGCAATGGAGTGTGGGGCTGTCTTCCCGTTGCTGGAGCAGCTGCTCCAGCAGCCCAGCTCACCCAGCTGTGTACGTCAGAAGGTGCTCAAGTGCTTTTCCAGCTGGGTTCAGCTGGAGGTGCCACTGCAGGACTGCGAGGCACTCATTCAGGCTGCCTTCACGGCTCTGCAGGACTCAGAGCTCTTCGACAGCAGTGTGGAAGCCATTGTCAATGCCATCTCACAGCCTGATGCCCAGAGGTGAGCTAGTCCCCACCTTTCCAGAGAGGGACAGTCTGCATGGTCAGCCACATATCCACTCATCCATCTGTTTAGTAAACACTGAGTGCCTACTGTGCACCTGGTCCTATACTGAAGATACAGCAAGGAACCAAAAAAGACATGGTCCTGTCCCTGTGGATCAGAGAGGGAGAGAGACATTAAACTAATAATTCATCCAATGAATTATTCAGTTAAAATATTTGACTCTTCTCTTTCTCTCAGCCACTCAGTCACCAAGTTCTGGCTGCTCTCCTGACCATATTGCAAATCTATTTTTTTTCCATTTTCATTGCCACCACTCTAGTCCAAGCTGCCATCATTTTTCCCCAGATTACTTTACCCATAGCTCTGTCACCAGTCCCCTTGTTTTTATTCTTGTACCCTTCACTGTCTACCCAGCAGCCAGAGTGATCTTTTGAAAATGAGTGTCTTTCCTTTCTGCTCAGAACCCTTCAGTGGCTCCTCGCTGCTCTTAGGATAAAGTTCAGAATCCTTAATGTGATTCACAGAGATGCTGCACAATATGGCATCTCTAGCCTTATCTCATGCCATGTTCCTTCCTTTCTTCACTTGCACAGTCTTCTCAGTTCCTTGAATGTCCCATGCACCTTTCAAACTCTGAACCACAACATGTACTTGACATATCACCTTTGCCTCAGCTTAAACTTCACATCCTCAATGATTTTTGAAACTAAGTTTGGTCTTCTTTATTATTTTATCTCAGAGTTTCCAGTGTTTTTCCTCCTTAGCCCATAACATGGTTTCATTATAAATTAATGCATGTCTCCCCATTAGTCTCTCAGCTCTGTGACAGCAGGCACTCTATCATTTCATTTTGTCACATTGTGCCTGGCAGCACTTGGTAGCATTCAGTATTTTTTGAACGGATGAAAAGTAGAGTTGCCGGAGTGGTGAGGGGTGTGAGCGGGCATGGGAAAGGTTGGGGGAGGAGAGAGTGTTGCAGACTTCGGGAACTACAGCAGGTGCAAAGGCCTGTGGTGGGCAGCACCATGGTACATTCAAGGACTCGAAAAAAGGTGAGTGGGTAAGTGTAGTGAGGGGTTTGTTCAGCAAATGCTTGTTGAGCGCCTGTTTGTGTTGGGCCCTGTGCTGAGCACTAGGAGCATAAAGATAAATGGGTTGACTTCTGCAAGCCAGGAGCTCATAACCTAGTAGATACATGAGTAGACAAGTACAGCCAACATGATGAATACTCTAATGGAGAGAGCAGGGGCTGTAAGAGCCCAGAGGAGGCATGTAACCCAGTTTGGGGGTTGTGAAAGGCTTCCCAGAGGAGGTGACAACTGAGCTATGCTGTGAAGGTTGTGTAAGAGTTAGTCAGATGAGGGTGATGGATATGAGGAGGACATTTCAGACAGATGAAGGAGCCTGAGCAAAGGAAGGGGGTGAGAGAGCCTGGCGAGTGGGTGTGATTAGAAAGCAGGATTTAAGGGCCAGTTGTAGGAGATCTGGGCCCAGATCATGTAGGACCTTGTTGTCCAGGCTTGAGATTTTGGTCTTCATCCTGAGGGTGATGTAAAGGTATTAAAGGATTTTAAGCAGAGAAAATGGCATGATGAATTTTTGGTATCAGTTGGATTGACCAGGGCAAGACTGGAGGCCTGACACTAACATTTCAGAGTTAGGGCTTTGGGAACCCTTGGAGAATTGAAGAGGGGAAAAATATTGAAAGAGATAGCACTGGGGAGTGGGTAATGATCTCTAGCCTTGGCATTGATCACATCTGAGTTTGAATCCCAGGTAGTCCACTTACTAGATCTGAGACTTTGGGTAAGCCACTTTTAAGCCTCAGTTTCCTCATCTATAAGATGGGTGTGATCGTATCGCCCTCACAGAGTTTTAGTGGTAGGATAATGTACACAGGGCCTGCCCCTGGTATTCTATAAAAAATTTTGGTATGAGGATTAAATAAGAGAATGCCTGTGAAAGGTTTAGCATGGTTGCTGTGTACTCCATAAGTGGCAGTTGCTAGTATTTAATGTCATTTCCCCTGGTTCTCCAGGTTTTCCAACTTAATGTAGGTACCAAGTCCTAGGTCAAGGCCTTTCTTGGCAACCCGAACCTCAAGTGCTGGCTGAGTTCAGACAGTTAGTTATGGCTAAGGGGAATTGTCCGTGGGTGATGTGGGGTGTCCTTGGATACACCCAGGTTTACCTGCCTAGCCAGTCTCCAGGGCTTTGGTAGGTAATTGATGCCTCTTCTCCCCTGAACGAATGAGCGAGCAAGAAGCCAGTGAGGGAACCCACAGCCTCCTGAGCGCCCATTGGCTGCAGCTCCCTTTGTTGCTTAGCAACTCTCCCCATTTTCTCAGCTCTGCTCCTAGAGCTCTAATTGCAGGTCTGGGCTGAGCTCAGTGTGAGTGGCAGCCAAGGAGTCCCAGCAGCTCAAGTTGGCCAATGGGAATCAGCCCTCTTGAACCTAGTCTCAGGCATCGCCCTAAAGACATCCTCTCTTATCTCCCTCCCTCAAACCTAGAAACTTCTTGGGGTGCCTTAGGCTTATTCTCCTATCTACTTACAAGTCTCTAGTGCCCAGGTGGTAGAAAATCTATGCAAGAGTTTCCCCCCATGCACCACTGGGCTGCAACCAGCCCGGAGTCAGAGTTTGGGCCTTGCTCTGTGTAGGCTAGTTTCCTAGCTTTGGCTTGAGAAAGTCACCTTTAGTGGTTTTGACTCCTGGGTCACCCAGCCACTGCCTTACCCAGGTGTCCTGACACCAGCCCTCTCCTTGGCTAAACTTGTACTCAAGCCACCCTTTTTCCACTCTTCCATAGCTGTTACTGCTTGCCTAGCACTCTCTCCTCCAAAATTTTTTTCTCTCCCTATAATATGTTTTTAATTCTGGAAAAGCTTTTCATTGGGAACTGGGGGAAGAGAGATGAATTAGACAGGCTCTTGAGGGCTCCCATCAGTTAGGACTTGAGATGGGCTGAGATCTGTATAGATCCTTTGAGGAAATTCAGGCTGGACCTTGAAAGAGAAGCAGACCTACAGCAGTATAAGCGGCCCCGCCTGGGACCTGTCTGAGTTGCTGTATGACCTTGTGTAAATACTCTGAGCCTTTCTGGGCTATATTGTTCTTGATCTTATGAGCTTCAGATAAGACAAATTAAGGACCTTCACTGAGGACCTACCGTGTACATGAATTTTGGCGGGTGTGAGGGAGCTTTGGAATACAGTGGGGGTAGGACACTACCTCCTGCTCCCGTCTCAACTACTGGGGAGCTTGAGGGTCATGGCCTTGGCCCTGCCCCTGCTTTCTGTGCCAGAGTCTGGCCTGAAGGTGCCCATTGTCTGGTGGTACAGCCTGTGTCAGGGCATGAGACTGAAACTATCCCAGCTGTCTCCAGGCAGCGCCCTCCGGGGCTGTCTCTGGGCTGGGGATATCCTGGTATGGATACCTTATCTCACCAGAATGGGAATGTGGAGAAGGCCAACATCTTGGGCTGTTTTACTCTGTTCTTTTCATCTTACCCCTAAGGTTAGGAGGCTACCTGCCTAGCAACCTGGCTGGGGCAAGTCCAGATAGAACTCCTTTTGGACCCTCAGTACCCCACCCACCTCTCCATAGATTGCTATGGGGAGACTATGATTGACAGCAGAGGGGGCCCAAGCATCTGATTCCCTCCTTGGAGTATCACTTCCTCTGCTTAGTCTGATCTCCACAGAGCAGGCTGCTGGGGAGGGGTCCCGTGGGACAGAGCTAGCCTTCTCTCAGTCTCCTGTGTGTACTGTGCTTCCTTTAGGGATCATTGTGCTTCAGGGCTCTGACATGGACCCTCTTCTTTTCTCTCATTCAACACTGTCTTCCTGTGCAATTCTCATCTACTCCTATAACTTCAATTACCAGCTGTTCACTAATGACTCCAAAATCTATGTCTCTTGCTCTAGCCTCTCTGTTGGGCTTCAGAGTTTTATATCCAACTCTCTGGACACTTCTACCTGCATATCTCACCAAGTACCTCTGATTCAACATGCCTAACATTAAACTTATCACCTCCAGCCTCCCATTAAATTTGCTACTGTCCGCCTCCACCCCCCCCCCCCCCAGGTCTCAGTCAATAGCCCACTATCTACCTAGCTGTTTAGCCAGTAACCTGAGAGTTATCCATGACTCTTTCCCATCCCCACACCCAGTCAATCATCAGGTCCTGTCCATTTTGCCTCTTAGCTCTAAGTTCATCACCTACTTTTTCTTCCTATTGCCACCAGAGTACGTAGGAGTTAGGATTTGGTGGTAGGAGATAGAGTGGAAGGTGGGATTGATGCTCTTAGGAGCTGTTGCTGCCTTCTAAAATGAAGTCTTTACCAGGGCTCCTGAGCCTGTGGTAACTCTTCTATCTACCATTCTTGTTTGATCTCCTTGAACACTACCTCCATTAGTTTCCTAGAGCTGCTATAATGAAGTACCATACACCGGGTACCTTTAAACAACAGAAATTAATTGTCTCACAGTTGTGGAGGCTAGAGGTTTGAAGTCAAGGTGTCAACTCCCTCTGAAACCTGTAGGGGAATCTTTCCTTGCCTCCTCCTAGCTTCTGGTGGTTTGCTGGCAATCTTTGGTGTTCCTTGGCATGCAGCTGTATAATTCCAGTCTCTACCTTTGTCGTCACATGTCATTCTCCCTGGAGGTCTCTGTCTTCACATGGATACCTTCTTATAAAGACATCAGTCATATTGTATTAGGGGTCCCCCCACTCTATGACCTATCTGCAATGACCCTATTTCCAAATAAGATCACATTCTGAGGTACTAGAGGTTAAGACTTCAACATATCTTTTTTGCCTCGAAGGACAGAATGTTATCCTGAAAGAGCCAGGGAAGTGTTAGCCACCTCACATGCAGCCACAGAAGCCCATGATTTAACCCACTGGGGACACAATTCAACCCATATCAGTTGGCCATCTGGCTCCCCAAATTTATGTCCTTCCGACATGCAAAATACACTCACCTCATCCCAACCACCCCAAAAGTCTTAACCCCTTCCAGCATCAACTCTTAAGTCCAATTGGAAGACACAGTTCAACCCATAACACTGACCTTGTTGTACTTCCTTTCCAGAGTTCTCTTGGAGGTCTCTGACCTAAGGCTCCTCCTGACATGGGCAGTATCAAAGCTGCCATGTAGGCCCTGACATTTTTTTTGCTTTGGATTTGATGTGGGGAGGGGGTCTTTGATGGAAGATGGGAGAATGTACTTTTCTTTTCTTTTTTTTTGAAAAGATTTTTTTGGGGAATTGAGGGAGGGAACAGCGTTGGGGAATCGGTGAAGGGGAACAGACAAGTTGCTGTCCTTTTGTTCTTCAGTCTAGTTGTGGAGGACGTTGCTTCTCTGGCCCATGTTGGTATTGTGATCATTGTGCTCTTCCTGGCTGAGGCAGTCGGTCGCCTGCCATTGGACGGCTGCTCACAGCAACTCACGGCAGCTCACGCTGGCTGCCGTAACCACTGCAGACTCACTGCAGCCTACGCCGTTGCCAGCGACTCATGGCAGCCCAACTCCAGGTCGAGCTGCTGTTCACCATCTTAGCTGTAGAGGGTGCAGCGTCACTGGCCTATGTGGGATCCAAACCGGCGGCCCTGATGCTCAGTGCTCGCGCTCCCAAGCCAACTCTTAACCAACGAGCCACTCGGCTGGCCCAAGAATGTACTTTTCTTTCACAGATGGTGAGGGATTGGCAGATAGCTCTGATGGGTGCCCTCCTCTCTTGCCTTCAGGTATGTGAACACACTCCTGAAACTCATCCCGCTGGTGCTGGGACTGCAGGATCAGCTACGACAGGCAGTGCAGAATGGGGACATGGAGACCTCCCATGGCATCTGTCGCGTTGCTGTGGCCCTGGGCGAGAACCATTCCCGGTGAGGAGTGGGGCAGCTGGGGGTGGGATAGCAGGGCCCTCTAGAAGCTGGCATTATGGAGCCCTCTTGGGGGAGGTGACATGGCTGTACTATGTCTCCTCCCTCCAGGGCCCTGCTGGACCAAGTGGAGCACTGGCAGAGCTTCCTGGCCCTTGTCAACATGATCATGTTCTGCACGGGCATCCCTGGCCACTATCCTGTCAATGAAACCACCAGCTCCCTGACCCTCACCTTCTGGTACACACTGCAGGTATGACTATGTGACCTCCAGTGGGAGGGGATCGTGATGGAAGAAGGTGGATCATGGGCTTCTGTGGCTGCTGGTGAGGTAGCTAACACTCTTCCCTGGCTCTCTCAGGATGACATTCTGTCCTTCGAGGCAGAGAAACAGGCTGTGTATCAGCAGGTGTACCGGCCGGTCTACTTCCAGCTGGTGGATGTGCTTCTGCACAAGGCCCAGTTCCCTTCTGATGAGGAATATGGATTCTGGTCCTCAGATGAGAAGGAGCAGTTCCGCATTTACAGGTGATGGTAGCAGGCCAATTCTATCTCTAAATGGAGTCCTGAAATCATGAAGGCAATGAGGGGAGGGGCCCAAGGCCAAGCTTCCTGAATCCTGGGGCTCTTTTCTCTATTCTCTAGGAACTTTTACAGGGTTATGAGTGTACCAGGGTGGGTTTCTGGGCTTGGGGGCAGGATCCTGGATCCTGGCAGTGTATAAAGCCTTCATCTGCTTCTCAGGGTGGACATCTCAGACACGCTTATGTATGTCTATGAGATGCTGGGGGCCGAGCTGCTCAGCAACCTCTATGACAAGCTGGGCCGTTTGCTTACCAGCTCAGAGGAGCCCTACTCCTGGCAGGTACCTTCCAAGCCTGATTCCCTCAGCCCTCCCAGACCTGTCACACCCTCCTCCTCAGCCAAGCCAGTGGCACCCTCTCTCCCCAGCACACAGAGGCCCTGCTCTATGGCTTCCAATCCATCGCAGAGACCATCGATGTCAACTATTCTGACGTGGTGCCTGGGCTCATTGGCCTCATCCCTCGGATCAGTATCAGCAACGTGCAGCTGGCGGACACTGTCATGTTCACCATTGGTGAGACCTGGCATACATCCACATTCCCAGAGCCACAGGCACCCAGCCACAGCCAGCCTGCTGGGTCCTATCCAGAGTGGGGGAGACACACTTGCCTGCACATTCAGTCAGCGTTGCAGCCAGCTGGCTATCCCAGCACGTCTAGGGGTCCTTCCTGTAGTGTATTTTTTTTTTTTAGCTGAGCCATCCTGCCACCTGTTGGCAGCTCAGCAGCAGCTCAGCTCGGCCAGGAATCAAACCGGCAACCCTGTTGCTCAGAGCTCGCACTCTTGAGTGAGCTCTTAACCAACTGAGCCACTCGGCTGGCCCCTTCCTTTAGTGTATTGAGCTGCAATTCAGTGAAGCTAAGCCACTGTCAATGGAATAGCAAGCAGTGCAGGGCCTCTGATGAGCAGCTCTTCTCTGCTTCTCAGCTGTTAACGAGCATGTTTGATCGTGTGCATGCATATTTGCTTCTTTAGTCCTCTGAATGAGTGGCGATCTATACCGGGGCTGCACCTTGACCCTGTCCAGGAGCTCTGCCTGCCTCATAGGGACATGGCCTGCCTCAGAGGTCCTCCTTGTCCCCTCTTCCACCAGGAGCTCTGTCTGAATGGCTGGCTGACCACCCCGTCATGATCAACAGCGTCCTGCCCCTCGTACTGCACGCCCTCGGCAACCCCGAGCTCTCCGTCTCTTCTGTGTCCACCCTCAAGAAGATCTGCCGAGAGTGCAAGTATGACCTGCCACCCTATGCCGCCAACATCGTGGCCGTCTCCCAGGTACATAGGGGCCCCAGGTGGAGCTGGGCCTCTGGGCACAGTCTGCACTGCTCCGATACTGTACTTCATCTTTTTATCCCCAGGATGTGCTGATGAAACAGATCCACAAGGTGAGCTGAAAAGTTTCCGGGGGGCTCCTTGAGGATATTATAGGGACCCACAGAAATTCCATCTTCTGCCTTGCCTCTTATTCTCTGTTCTTGGAAGCTTACCCAACTGGTTCACCCTTCCCACCACAACCAGATATGTCTAGGACTGACCCTCTGTGTTGTGTCCCACAGACGAGCCAGTGCATGTGGCTGATGCAGGCACTGGGCTTCCTGCTGTCAGCCCTGCAGGTGGAGGAGATCCTTAAGAACCTGCACTCGCTCATCTCACCCTACATCCAGCAGCTGGAGAAGCTGGCAGAGGAAATAGTGAGTGAGCTAGGGTGGGTGGGTGGATGTGTGTCTCTCCCCCAGGGGAGAGCAGGGGTGGGACTCTAGGGCTGGGGGCTAGGGGTATATGTGTCTGACTGTTTGTCTGTCTGTCTCCAAGGAGGAGGCATCCCTTTGTGTGGGCTGTGGCTGCTGAGGGTTGGGGTTGGAGCTGGCCGTCAGGGCTGGGGCCAAGGGACATCTAGAACTTGGTTTGTTTCCCCCGTAGCCTAATCCCTCCAACAAGCTGGCCATTGTTCACATCTTGGGGCTTCTCTCCAACCTCTTCACCACGCTGGATGTCAGTCATCATGAGGATGATCATGAAGGCTCTGAGCTCCGGAAGCTGCCAGTGCCACAGGGACCCAATCCCGTGGGTGATGTTGTCATTGCTATTGACCCCACCCCCCAACCCTGTGGGAATGTCATTGTCACCCCCAACTCTGTGGGTAATATTGTCATTGTTTCTCTGGCACATTATGCATTTGGTCCTCACCCTGTGAATGATCTTATCATTGCTCCTCACGCTGTAGGGAGTGGCATCATTGTCTCACCCTGTGGGTGGTATCTTTGTCCCCAGACCAACTGGGGTGATGTCATTGTGGTTCTTCCACCCTTGGGGGACACTGACATTATCCTTCAGCCCGAAGTGAGGCTTACATGTTCCCCATGTGATAGCTCTTACCCACAAGTTGCTCCCAGTCTGGAGGAAATGCATGTAGACAGCAGTGTGATAGTGCTGTGGTAAGCTCAGGCACAGGGGGTGGGTGACCATTTATGAGCTGTTTGACCTGGGACAAGCCTCAGCTTCCCGTTCAAAACTATGAACATCAGAATATTGACTTGCTTATCTCATAGAACTGCAGATGAGGTCTTGAGTGAAAGTACTTTGCATACTGTGAAGTTTTGTACAAATGTGAGGGACTGCTTTGATCATTGCTCCCAGTACCCACTCCAGTGTTTCTCTGGACCAAAGGAAGCCACAATATCCTGGCCCCTCTGCCCAGCTCCCCACCCCAGTCCCCCTTTTGGATCCGGACCACACCTCTCCCCCAGAGCCCCTTCTAATTCTGTGGTAGTCATCATCCTGCCTTCCCTCACCTCCCAGGACCTTAGTCTGCTCTCTGCTCCTTCATAAGCTGCCCATATTTACGCATCCCTTGGGGCTGTCTACCTTAAGCCTGTCTGGGTGAGACAGCATCCCACTTTAGGGGCTTTTGGCACTAAGAGTTTTACTGAGCAGAAATTGATAGGGAGTGATTTTTTTTTAAGTTAAAAAAAGATTTAAAGTTAATATTATGAAGCACTCATAATATCCCTGCTTTACAGTTTGAGGCTTCTTCTGAGAGGATCCTCGATATGCAGTCTGGGGTGATAGGTTTGAACTCCTGATCTACTTTCTACTACCAGGTCCTTCTTGGGTGGGTGACAGTGGTGGTGGGGGCATCTTCATCCTGTGTCTCCAGGTGGTGGTGGTGCTGCAGCAGGTCTTCCAGCTTATCCAGAAGGTGCTGAGCAAATGGCTGAACGATGCCCAGGTGGTGGAGGTGAGCCCCGACCCTTGCTTTTTGCCCCATGGTGACTTTACGCAGAGGTGGACAAGGAGGAAGGTGTCGCTGCCCCAGTTAAGTTGTGATGGTGTGGAGGAGGCAAAGGAGGTGAATCCTGTCCCATCGATACAGGGAATCCTTTGGGAAGACATTCAGAACTTCCCAGTATCACAAGAAGCTCTCGACCAAAGGACCATGATGTTGGGGCTGAGTGACAGGCAGGAATCCACTTTAACATCAGAGACCTGCCTTTGGTCTCATTTCAGTTCATGGTAGAGATGTAAGTAGCAAGAGTTGAGTTACAAAGTTCCGTCCTGTGCCGCCTGAGAAGGGCCTTTTGCCTCCTGCCTTTCAGGGTAAGGGCCAGACTTGTTTCCTTCCCTTGATTCACAGAGCCAGGCCAGGGCCCCGTCTCAGGCCTCCTCTGTGAGGGCCTCAGTTGTGTTCCAGCTGATGTGACCTGCTGACCAGGACCCCTTTGCTTTCTTTTTTTCAATTGAAATATATTTGATGTATAACATTTTGTAAATTTAAGGTGAACAACATGTTGATTTGATACATTTATATATTATAATATGGTTGCCATTATAATGTTAATTAGTACCTCTATCACATCACATAATTATCATTTCTTTTTAGTGGTTAGAATAATTAAGATCTAGTCTCTTAGCTAATTCGATGATTATAATACAATAATGTTAGAATAATTAAGATCTAGCCTCTTAGCTGATTTGAGAATTATAATACAATATTGTTTTCTGTTTCATGGGCCCCTTTGCTTCCTTTCCAAGGCGGTCTGCGCTATCTTTGAGAAGTCTGTTAAGACGCTGCTGGATGACTTTGCCCCCATGGTGCCACAGCTGTGTGAGATGCTGGGACGGATGTACAGCACCATCCCCCAGGCCTCAGCTCTTGACCTCACTCGGCAGGTGGGCCTCCTGATTGGGACAGCAGTGTTCTAGATTTCATCCTAGTCAGAGTTCTGACCCAGGGATGGGGTAGGTGGGTAGAGTGGGGTGGATGGCTGTCCTGGCAGGGTTCTCACCTGCATCCCAGGGATGCTGGCCTGTCCTGGTGAGACAGGGCCTCCGCTGACCAGCATTCCCTGCTTTGTTGTAGCTGGTCCACATCTTTGCTCATGAGCCTGCTCACTTTCCCCCAATCGAGGCCCTCTTCCTGCTCGTCACCTCTGTCACACTCACTCTCTTCCAGCAAGGTAGGTCCTGACCAGGGTCTGTGCTGCTGCTGCCACTGCCACTGCCTCTGCTTCTCTGACTGGGGAGCCAGAATTGCCCACTCTGTTCTCCTCTGTCCCCTGAGTTGCACATGGGACTTGATGGGAAACTTATGAGATGAAGCACAGCATAATTGTCACCTTACAAATAGTTGACACCTTAGGTTGAAGTGGATAAGAGAGTGAATGATGTCTGCTACTGGCCTGCTGGGCTCAGGGCCAGTCTGGATGTCGGGGAAGGTGGAGCCAGAAGCTCTGGAGCCAGAAGCTCTGAGGGACTTGGGGTACCAGGCTGGCTCCTTTTCTTTGGGATATAATGAAAAGTGGAAAGAGCATGGGTTTTGAAGTCAGGCACACCTAGATTCTAAGCTCATCACCACCAACTAGTTGTGTGACCTTGGGCAAGTCACTTACCTTTGTGGAGCCTTCGTTTCCATATCTGTGAAATGGAGATTTCTTATACTTGATAGCATTGTTTTAGGCATTAAAGTAGCATCTTTTGGACCCATGGCTTGGGGTTTTTGTACACAAAGTACTCAGTGAATTCTGTTTCCTTTCCCTGCATCGAGGTTTATTCCTTTCCAAGCCAAAAGTCTTTGGCTGTGGTCCTAGCCCCCCCTTTCACTGTGGCCCTTTACCTGAGAGAGTTGGGAGCAGGGGCCTCCTGGATTCCCCTGCTGTCTAACCCAGGGCTTCTAACTCGGAAATGAAACAGCACTGCTCTGCCAGCCTTATGAGTCTTGCCTGGATTCGTGGTTGCAGTTTTGAGGCTCACCAGGGGTCTCAGCTGGAGCTAGAGTGCTCTGTGCTTATATCCTCAGTATCTAGTCCCATGATGCTGGCCTCTGCTCTGATGGGCTATGGGTAGGTCCACAGTGGGGAGAAACCTGAGCCAGAAACCCAGGGGTGGTCATCCTCAGCTCCACTTCTCCCACTCCTCGTATCCAGCTGGGGACAAGTCCTGGTGGTCCTGGCTCCTGGTTGTCCCGCAGTCTGCCCACTTTTCCCCACCCTCCATGACCGCAGCCTCAGTGTAGAGGGTCTGCATTACCTCAACAATTTTCTAACTGGTTCTCCTGCATCTGCCCTTCTCTCCAATCTATTCTGCACCCTGAATCTGTAATGTTCTTTATAAAACACAAATGTGAACATTTTCCCTCCCTGGCTTAAAACCCTTTCATTGCTCCCCTATTGCCCTCAGGTGATTGTCGCACTCCCACCCACTTGGAAGCTCCTGCAGACCTCTCGGTGCCCTCTCCTGCCAGCATCCCTGTGACTCCAGCCGCCCAAGCACACTGACTTTTCCCTTACTCTGTCCCTTTGATCCCCGTGTCTTGCGCCTCTGGCTGGAATGCCCTGTGCCCTTTACTGGGTGAGCTCTCACTCCTCCATGCCTCACCCATGCATCATCCCTCAGAAGCTTCTGAGGTGGAATCGCGTGCTTCTACCTTAGTGCCCAAACTGCATCATGTACTCACTGCTGATACAGCACTAATTGCACTCAATTCAGCTTTCATGCCTGTCTCTCTCCCTAGACTAAGCCCCTCGAGGGCAGGGCTGGATCACTTCTCTGTGCATCCCCAGTGCCCAAAACGAGGCCAGCATAGAGCAGGCACCAGATGCTGTTGAAGAAAGGAGGGTGAGGGCTCCCTGCCCTCGGAACCTTTCTTCCTCACTGTCTGGCCCACTGCTAAGCAGGGTGGCTGTTGAGTGTCGAACCTGAAGTCTGCAGTGGGACCCAGGCATGGGGCACATTGGGCCTCACTTTCCAAGACTTGAGTAACTTGGGGCTCAGATGTGAAAGGGACGGGCTTTATCAGCGGCTCCGCATACCCTAGAGAAGGAAGCAGAGAAGAGATTATTATCTGTTTTGCAGTGGGGAAACTGAGTGTTTGTGGCTTGCGCAAGATCACACAGCTCCTTAGTGGTGTCTCAGGCAGATATTCCTGCAGTGCCTTCTCCTGAGAGCGGAGTGGCCCGGGCAGGAGCTCCTGGCGCTTGCCTTGTCCTTGCCACAGGCTTCATCAGAATTGGAGGCAGAATCGTGTCCAACATCCTGTTTGTTGGGCTTCTTGGTTGTCTTGCTGGACAGGATGGCCCCCTTACCTGTATGCCGTCCCAGGCTTGCCAGTCCTTTCTCAGGCCCTGCCCTCGCACTGCACCATGGGGTGACACATTGACTGGTTTCCCTCTTTCTTCGTGTGTCCTGATGGGAGCTGGTCCTCAGCCCTGAGCTTCGTTCTCTGCTGAGTCCGTGTCCATGTGGAGGGGCTTTGCTGGGTGGGGCTTTCAGTTTTGGCCTCATGGTGCAGTTTCCTCCCCTAGGCCCTGCCAGTGGCCTGCCTGGCCATACCCACAGCATATTGGGCACTGTCCTATCCAAGAAGGAGTCCTTTGGTTTAAGTGGACCCAGTGGGTTCCTTTTTTTGGCCAGACCAAGAGCCCTAAGGCCATTGAAGTGAGGGGGCACCTTCTCAGGCCCTGACACTGTGGCCATTTCAGGGCCTTCAGTCAGGCTCCCCAAAGAGGTACCAAGAACCAGCCTCCCACCAGCCCTGTCCAACTCTTCGATGGATAGTGATGGGGAGGTATGTGCTAGGAAGCAGAGTAGGGTCACCCCAGTCTGTCGGAGGCCACAGCGAGAGTGCGGGGGCTGTTTCCTCAGCTCTGTGGAATCCAGCATTGTTCAAGCACTAAAGGATCATTTGGGGGATTGACCTGAGGAAGAGTGGGGAGTAGGTGGAAGGCCCCTGGGGAGGGAGCTGGGGCAGGCCCGTCCTTCACTTTGCCGTCTCTTTCTGTTGGGCTTCTCCCCGTTCATGGTTTTTGTATGTTTTGTTTCTTTATCTTGCTTCCTGCTGCTCATGTGCCCCCATGCTGTCTCCCTGCAGGCTCTCAGTCCCACATAACTATATGAGGTTGAGTTGCTGTTTGTATAATTTTTTCTTAAGTTCCATCTTTATTATATTTTAGGGCCCAGGGATCATCCTGATATTGTTGATTCATTTATGCAACTCCTGGCACAGGTGTGTTTTAGTTTTATTCATTCACGTTCTGTTCTCTCTCTTTCTCTTTCTCTTATGTTGAAATTCAATTTAAGCCTATTTTTAGCTTTCTGTTGACAAATTTTTTTTCTGTTCAGTTGAATAGAGTTTCTTCATCTGTTTCCGTGGAAGTTGACAACCCAACATCCTCCTTTAGAGCCCCTTTGCCTCAACTAGCTCAGTCTTCTACAAAGACCAGGGAGAGGCTAATCCTGAAGGGAGGGAGCTGGGCTGGCCTGGTGGGGGTCGGGGAGGGAGGGGGGTAACCGTGCCCAGCAGCTCCTGTGTGGCTGGAGTGTCTGAGAAGTTCAGGGGTAAGACTAGTTGAAGGGCCTGGGCTTCCCGTGCTCCTGCCGGGAACCACCTGCCTCAGTGCCCCAGCCTGCTCTTGAGAGGTAGGCTGGGCGGAGCTCCGAAGGGAGGGCCTGAGATGAATGCGCTGCGGTGGAGGCCCTTAGTTGGGCTGTTGGACAGGTTGCATTGCTGCTGGGAAGTGGGGATGTGTTTGGTGTGTGTTTAAGTATGTTGGTCCTTACTTTGTATGTTTTGGGTTTGGTTTGGGAAGGGAACAGAAATCACATAACTGCTGTTAGTAGTATGTGTATTGTATTGGGTGTTGGGTGCACGTGTAGCTGAAGTGTGGACATGTGCATTGATACGTGTTTTCTGTTGATGTGTGTTAGGCATCGATGGATTTTGAGTGCTGATATGTGTTGGAGGCGTGTGCATGTTAGGCTGTGGGAATGTGTATCATGGAGGATAGGAGTATGTATTGTGGTATTGGTATGTCTGTATTAGGGTGTGTATGTTTTGGAAGATACATGTGTGGGGCTGTGGGAATGTGGGGTTAGTATGATGGGAGTTCTCTGTGTTAGAGGGTTCCTGTGCATTGGGGGTCCTGTGGGTTAAAGTAAATAATATGTTTCTTTGCTTAATCATTCCACAAATATTTATTAAGTGTATAATACATGCTTGGTACTCTGCTAGGTGCTGAGGGTATAATGGTGAGCAAAAGCAGGCACAGTTCTTACTCTCTTGGCACTTATAGTTTAGTTGGGGGACAGGGTGAAAGAGTGGGGAATAGGGAGTGTGTTCTGGGCCTGGGTGGATGTGAGTGGGAGTATCTGCAAGGGTGTATCTTTGGGGGTGAGGGTATTTAAGTGCATTTGCGGGTGGGTATGTAGGGAGAGTACATGTGCTGGAGGACTGGATAGATGGAGGGTGTGGATATGGACATGGTTTCGGGATGTGGGGATGTTTGGGTGTGTGACTGTGAAGTGAGAATGTGTTGCAAGTGTGGGAGAGTGTGAGTGTAAAAGATGTGATAGAAGTGTGTTTGAGGGTAAATAGGGCGTTTCAAGTTAGGGTGCATGTGGGGGTGTTTGCACATGAATAAATATGGTGGAGTGGAAGGTATGTGAGGGGCTGGAGGGTTAGGGATCTATTTGGTATGCGTTGGGGGGCTGCTGGGAAACAGCGGTGTATTATGACTGCTGGAGCTGTGCAGAGCATTTCCTGTGACCTGAAGATGTGCCAGTCATGTCCTGGTACCACTTGGGGTGTGCTGTCTGCCCCCTGTACTCCATCTGTTCCCCCACATGACAATGTGGCTCGTGGGCTGGGTATGGCTGCGAAGGGCCTGGACACAGGGTACCCTGGGTGAAAGGTGGGGCCATGGCTCCAAGGCTCCTACCCTACTTTTCCTCTTCCTGACTGGAGGGTGTCTGAGGAATGCAGGCTGGACATGGGAAGGGGGCTGTTGGACTGTGTTCCGCATCCAGCTGCCATTTCTTCTTCCTGCTGCTCTGTTAATAAATACAGGGGGCCTCAGCTGCCTCTGAATCAAGGCGAAGTCACTGCTGGCTACCTCAGCCTGCAGGAGGCCTGGCCCTGATGGAGGGGAGAGGGGAAGGTGTTTGCCCAGGGAGTGACGTGGGACCCTCGCTTTCTGCATTATGACCTCTCCCAGCCTCTCATGTATACCTATGCATTCATGTACACATACATGTACATAGTGTCCCTTGGCTACTTCTCTCCTGGCCCACTGAACTCTGGGGGTGCTCTGGGTCCCCCAGAGATGGCTGGGTAGCTGGTTTTGGCAGCCTCTACCTGTGGTGTGTGAAGTTGGGGCCTAGGGTGGCAAATGAGTGGGGGGATAGTCCTTGGAACTGGCTGGAGCTGGGCTTACCAGCTCCACCTCCTGCAGGCTCTGAAGCGGAAACCAGATTTGTTCCTGTGTGAACGGTTGGATGTCAAAGCTGTGTTCCAGTGTGGTAAGTGGGGCCAGGTGGACAGGTGGGCCTGGGACCCTCTCGAGAAGGTCCTTAGGCCCCATCTGATCTGCCTCTGCCTCTCCTATAGCTGTGCTGGCCCTCAAGTTCCCTGAGGCACCTACTGTCAAGGCCTCCTGTGGCTTCTTTGTGAGTCCCATGCTGGTCCCTGTACCCCCACCACCCCTATCCCCAGTCCTACTCTGCCCAGGACTCCAGAGGGTAGGGGTGTGGTGTGCAGGTTCTGTCTCCAGGGTGAGGGGGGAAGGAGCTGGGGCTGACAGGCCTCTCCATCCTCTGCAGACAGAGCTACTGCCTCGATGTGGGGAAGTAGAACCCGTGGGGAAGGTAGTACAAGAGGACGGCCGTATTCTGCTCATAGCAGTACTGGAGGTGAGCTGGAGCAGGTGGGGGCTTGCTGGGCGTGCAGTGACTCTCACTGCTAAAGCAGCTGCTCTTCTGGGAATCTTGAGCCTTTGGTTTCCTAAGCTCTTTGATTTTGTTTCTTCCTTATTTAAATGGCTGGAAGTCGTCAGGGTTGCTATGAGGATCAGTTGGCTCTCAAAAAGCAGCTGTCGGGCCAGCTGAGTGGCTCAGCTGGTTAAGAGCTCGCTCAAGAGTTTGAGCTCTGAGCAACAGCGGTTCGAGTCCCGGCCCAAACTGAGCAGCCACTGAGCTGCCGACAGGTGGCAGGATGGCTCAGCTTAAAAAAAAATGCAGCTGTCACTTGTCACGTGCAGCATAGCTGCGGCAGGCGGGACGTGGCTCAGCACCCTTGCTGCAGAAGGGGCAAGGCCCTGGTGTGCTGATGAGCCCATCTTCCTCAGGCCATTGGGGGCCAGGCCTCCCGCAGCCTCATGGACTGCTTTGCTGACATCCTGTTTGCTCTGAACAAACACTGCTTCAGCCTTCTGAGCATGTGGATCAAGGAGGCACTGCAGCCTCCTGGCTTTCCTTCTGCCCGCCTCAGCCCTGAACAGAAGGACACCTTCAGCCAGCAGATCCTTCGGTGAGCACAGCTGGTGGGGCCTGGGCTCAGGTCTAGAGGAGAAGGAGGTAGTGGTGGATGGTGCTAACCTGCGCTCCCTTCTCTCCTTCAGTGAGCGTGTGAACAAGAGGCGGGTGAAGGAGATGGTGAAGGAGTTTACACTGCTGTGCCGGGGGCTACATGGCACAGATTACACAGCTGACTACTGAGGGGCACTCCTGTCCCACCCACACCTCCTCGTCACCCCTCCCTATCCCCAAAGAGTAAACCTGGACCCTCATTGCACTATTGTCTCTGCTTCCTTTCTGCTTCCACCACCACCAAACTGGGTAACCCCAGAAGGCCTGGGGGAAAGATGGGAGGATGCTTGGATCCAGGCCTTGGTAGGGAGTAGTGGGGCCAACCTCTAGCTTCTAGGGTGGAAGGGGCACTGCTGGAGCAAGCTGCTCCTAGGCTGGAGCCATTCAGAATACTGCCATTATCCTTGGGGTGGGGTGAGGATTGCAGTGGTATCAGCAACCCCCGCCCCCATTAAATTAGTCCCAATATTCATATAATATGAAATACATGCATACATTTATTTAATCAATAATGCTGGGTACTAGGCCCCTAGTTCTGCCTTGCCTTGTTCTGTCTAAACAAAGCTTGATCTAGTTCATAGTTACCATGCTAAGCTGGGAGAATGGGACCAGTGTAGGAAGGCTACGTGGAGGAAGTTTCATTTCTGATGGGAATGGGAAGTTTCTGAGGTAGAGGACTTGGGGCCTTGGGCTGGAGGTGCAGTGGGGCTGGGTCTCTTTGGGAGGGAAGAATTGGAGAGTGGCTTTGAGTTCTAGGATGGGTTTCTGGTGTGGGGTTATGGAAGCACCCAAACTTGCACATAGTAGAGGAGAGATATAGGAAGTGAGGCTGTGCATGTGTGGGAGGAGGCATTGCATACCCCAGAGGAAGAGGAAGGCCGGACTTAGTGTTGTCTGTATACCCATAACTCCCCACGACTAGGTACCTGACCAGCACATGGTGGTCAGGGCTTGGTCAGGACCAGGGACAGCTCCTGCCCTGCTGTTGCTCTCCTTCCTTTGTACGGTTCCCTCCCTTTCTGTATCCTCAGCCACTTCCACCAGGGCTGCCTCTCAGTCACACCAGCATTCTCAGTAAGATCTGATTGGTCATATCTAGGTTCTCCCCACTCCTGCCTGTGAGCCTGAGTCTCCTTAGGGGTGATAGAACTGGTTATGCCCACATTCATCTCCTTCCCCTGTTCTTTTCCCTACCTTTGCACAAATTCTGTATCCTCCATTCTTCATTCTCGCTCAATCTCTTCCCATGCCAGCCTTTCATGTGCTATCATCTGAAGCCACTCTGTCCCCCTTTCCCTACCTTTCTCACCTTACTCTTGATTTCTCACTTAGACCTCTTCTACTACATGCTATCCAAGTGTCTCCTCCCCACCAGACCCCCACCCCCACCCCCTCATGCCCCGCCATGACCAATGTAGCACATACAAGCCAGGAAATGAGAAAAAACCTGGATTCTGAAATCAGACCTAGGTTTGATACCGGTTGTGCCACTGACTTGCTGTGTCCTATTAACCAGGTGATTAGCCTCTTTTAACCTCATTTTCTTCACCTGTAAAATAAGACAGTTTTTACTCTGAAGACTATAAACTAAGAACGTAGTGCCTGGTGAACAGCAAGTGCTCAAAGTTTGCCTCATTGACAGACTGCTATGAGGATAATAGCAATGCTTTCAGTACACGGGATATGCAAAGGACTACTTTTCAAGGTTTTATATCTAAATTGTTTTGACCCAACAATCCTATTAGTACTATTGCTGCAACCTCCATTCTGCAGATGAGGAAACGGCCATGGAGACGCTGGAGCTGCTCAAACTGGAGTAGTTATTTTCAGGGAGTTGGTGTTCCTGAGGGCCGGCGGTGGTCTGAACCTGAAAACTCCCAGCTCCTGGAGAGGAGGGGCAGAACTACAACTCCCACAAGGCTCCGCCCCTCCCCCGAAGCACTTTGGATCGGCGTGGGCGGTTTGGTGGCAAGGATTGGAGGGCGGGAGCCGTGCTGATTTAGGATTGGTAAAATTGTATGAGCCCCGCCTCAAAGACCCGGAAGTAATCTCTCCGGTTGGCCCATGTGTACCCGGGAAACTAGTTTGGAGGCGCGGACTGACAGACTCGTTGGGGGTCCCTTTTGAGGACGCGAGCCCTGAAGCTGACCGAAGGAGATCTCCGCTGCTTCCCGCCACCCAAGCTGTGCCCCATGGAGTCTACATTCAGCAGTTCCGCAGAGGCGGCGCTGCAGCGGGAGGCGGGCGCCGCGGGGCTGCTCACTCCTCTCGCGGACCTGGACCGAGTATACGAGCTGGAGCGAGTCATCGGATTTGTCCGCGACCTGGGGTGTCAACGGGTGAGGGCAAATTAGGGAGTCGTGGCTCACCTCTCTGGGGATGGGTCGCCCAGAGGATCGGGGTCTTGGGGTAATTTTGTGAGGAAGGTGGTAGAGGTGCGCTCCTCTGGGACAAGGGGCTTTGAAGAGTGGGTAGGGACTCCGGGAAGGTTTTCCTCGAAGAGACCCTCGGTGAAGGAGAAGTCATACCAGATTCCGTAGTTGATACTTACAGGTGGCGTTGCAGTTCCCTGACCAGCTATTGGGAGATGCTGGGGTCGTGGCTGCACGGCTGGAGGAGACCACGGAGTCGAAGATGTTCATTCTGGGGGACACGGCCTATGGCAGGTGCGAACTTGAGCTTAATGATGGAGGGATCCTGGGCTTGTGGATTTTACCCCCACTGTGACAGTGTCCGCCGCTGGTGGCTGCGTTTCTCCTTGATGATGCCTGCTCTCCTGATATAGCTCTTCTTTTCATAATATCATTTTCTTCATTGACCACATTTCCCATTGACGACAGCAACTCTCTTCCTGCTGAGAGCCCCTCTCACTAATGGTATCTCCCTTGCAGCTGCTGTGTGGATGTCCTAGGTGCTGAGCAAGCTGGAGCTCAGGCCCTTGTACATTTTGGCCCTGCCTGCTTAAGCCCTCCAGCCCGCCCACTGCCAGTGGCCTTCGTTCTTGGTCAGCGTCCTGTGGCCTTAGAGCTCTGCGCCAAAGCCTTTGAGGCCCAGAACCCAGACCCCACAGCGCCTGTGGTGCTGCTGAGTGAGCCGGCCTGCGCCCATGCCCTGGGTGAGGGGTTTTGCCTATGCATGCATGAAGGGTGGGCCAACTACATTGTGCCTTAATTTCCTCATTTCAGTATATCCTCATAGAGTTCGCAATAAGGGCTTGACCTCAGCCTTTGCTTTTGGGTCACATTTGGTTTTCTGGGGGATGAGAGGGCTCTTGTTTTGCCAGGCCCCAACCTTGACACCACCTTCTTCTTCCAGAGGCCTTGGCCACTCTCCTGCGCCCACGGTACCTGGACCTGCTTGTCTCCAGCCCAGCTCTTCCCCTGCCGGTGGGCTCCCTCAGTCCAGAGCCTGAGCCCCTTGAGCGTTTTGGGCGTCGCTTCCCCCTGGCTCCTGGGAGGTGTCTGGAAGAGTATGGTGCCTTCTATGTAGGGGGCTCTGAGTCCAGCCCTGACCCTGACCTTGACCCTGACCTGAGCCGGCTGCTCTTGGGCTGGGCACCAGGGCAGCCCTTTTCCTCCTGCTGCCCAAACACAGGGCGGATTCAGGATGAAGGTGCCCGGGCTGGGAGGCTAAGGACACGTAGACGCTACCTGATAGAGAGAGCCAGAGATGCCCGAGTGGTGGGGCTGCTGGTGGGCACGTTAGGTGTAGCCCGCCATCATGAGGCGCTAGCACACTTGCGGAACCTGACTCAGGCTGCTGGCAAGCGTAGCTATGTATTGGCTCTGGGGCGGCCCACACCTCCCAAGCTTGCCAACTTCCCTGAGGTGGATGTCTTTGTGCTGTTGGCCTGTCCTCTTGGTGCCCTAGCTCCCTGGCCTTCTGGTAGCTTCTTCCGGCCTGTATTGGCACCATGTGAGCTGGAGGCTGCCTGCAACCCCGCCTGGCCACCTCCAGGCCTGGCTCCCCACCTCACACACTACGCAGACTTATTGCCTGGTGAGTGGTGGGACACTCCCTGAGCTGGAAATACGTGGGGCATGGAATCAAGGGGCCAGTATGGGTCATCTTTCTCCCTCCTAGGCTCTCCCTTCCATGTGCCCCTGCCCCCACCTGAATCGGAACTGTGGGACACCCCAGATGTGTCACTCATTACTGGGGAACTCCGACCCCCACCCGCCTGGAAGCCATCAAATGATTCTGGATGCTCAGCCCTGACCCTGCGGCCCCCGCTGGAGTTGGCTGAGAGCAGCCCAGCAGGTAAGTGTGCCAAGTCTCCACTCCCATCTGAACTCTTTCCCCAGATTCTGCCCACTTATCTTCAGTTTCCTCCCTTTGCAGCCTCGTTCCTTAGTTCTCGGAGCTGGCAAGGGCTGCAGCCCCAGCTGGGTCAGACACCAGTGAAAAGAGCTGTGAGTGGAAGACGAGGGATTGCCATTGCCTACGAAGACGAGGGAAGCAGCTGATACCATGTGAGGCCAGAGACACAAATGGACTTAAGAATTACTGCTAAGACCTTTTTAGTGTTCCCTACACCAACCTCACCCCTCTGCCAGGATCCTTGAAGAAGCCTGCATGGAAAGAGGGTAGGCTGCCCCTCCTTCTGAGGATAGGATCCAGCTCTGTCTTGTCCTGGCACTGGCACAAAGCTTAGCACGTATTGGCTTAGTAAATGCCTGTTGTTTGACTGATGGGGACTGATTTGGGGCTTTCCTGAAGCCTTCTAAGCCTGTCTATTCTGGGAGCAGTCCAGGACCTCTGGCCAATTCCAGTTTCTGGTGTGCAGTTAAGGGTCTGCCATTGTCAAAGGCAGGTATACATGGTCTAGACATGGGTTTCTCAACTTTGGCACTATTGACATTTTAGGCCAGATAATTCTTTGTTGTAAAGGGCAGTTCTGTGCATTGTAGGATGTTTAGCATCATCCCTCGTTTCTGCCACCAGATACCAGTAGCATCCTTTCCCAATTGTGATAACTAAAAATATCTCCAGACATTGACAGATGTCCCCTGTGGGGGCAATACTGCCCTCAGTTGAGAACCACTGGTCTATACTTGTGCTGTCCAGTACAGCAGCCATTAGACACATATGGCTATTTAAACATAAATTTAACTAATTAAAAACTCAGTTTTCTAGTCATACTCGTCACATTTCAGTGCTCAAATAGCCACATGAATGGACAGCATAGCTATAGGAGATCTCCATCATCAAAGAAAGTTCTGTTGGATAGGGCTGGTCTACAGTGACTGATTTGTTTCTTAGTGAGATCACAGAAACTTGAATAAACCAGATACTTTTTCTCCTGTTTTTTATTCATCAAACACTGCAGGTTCTGCACAGATCCTGTGGGAGGCAATCTCAATTGTATTTGACTGTATTCCTGCCCTTGCAGTGTAATTGGGAAGAGAGGCAGTTAAATAGGCAATCACCACATGATGAAAGTACTCTGTGAGGAGGAAAGCCTCCAGGGGTAGCTGGAGCCCAAAGAAGGCTTCCCAGAAGGGATGATACTCAAGCTGAATCTCTTAGAGAAAAAAAAAAAGTGATCAGGAGAAAAGGACATTTGGGCAAAGGATACACCATACTTAAACACATGGGCATGAACCAGTGTGGTGGGTGCTTCAAGTAGCGTGGAGTTGCTAGATCCCAAAGGTTGAGAAGGGTGAAATAAAACAACTCACTTCATTCCCCGCATTTGCTGAGAGTCTTGGCATACTGGCATTGTCCAAGGTGTTGAAGAAGCAGGTGAACAAGGGAGTGTCCAGTCTACTGGTAGAGGCAGATCTGTAAACTGACCATGGTAACTGGGACAAGGTAGGCACCAAGCAAATTCTACAAATATGTATTGAGTACCCATTGAGTGTGAGCCACTGGAGATACAGCAGTGAGCTCAACAGAAATTCTTTCATGGTGCTTACATTCTCTTTGGGGAGAGATGGATAACCAAAACACTCAGTGTACCAAAGGTGATAAGTGCTATGGAGGAATATAAAGCTGGGAAGGGAATGTTAAGGGAGAGGAGGGTTGCATTATTAAACAGGATGGTCAGAGTCTTGAAGGTGAACAAAAACTGAAAGGAAGTTACAGAGTGAGCCACAGGGATAATTAGGAGAAGCAGAGGGTACAAGGGCAGGGTCAGTGTGGTGAGGATATGGCTGATGTGTTCAAGGAACAGCGAGGAGGCCAGTGAAGCCAGAGGAGAATGAGCGCGGGGGTATTAGGAGGTGGAGGCCAGAGCCACACTGGTAGCAGACTACCGTATTTGCCGGCGTATAAGATGATTTTTTGGCCCTGAAAAATATGCCTCCAAGTGGGGGGTTGTCTTATACGCCAGGTACACTTCAGATAGACTGCCCATAGTGCTTGCCCCGTGCCATAGTGGCCTCCCGATGCCCGCCCACTTCATTCCACATACCGTTCAGGCATCAGCAGCGCTGCTGGGTGTATGCTCGGCTGTTATGCGATTTTGCTGTTATGCGATTTTACCACACTTGCAAAATCGCACACAGCCGACCATACACCCAGTATGATAGCGCAAAATCGTGAATCGCGATACCATACTGGGTGTATGGTCGGCTGTGTGCGATTTTGCGAGTGTGGTAAATTCGGGTTACCGTATATTTCTTTACATATGCATTGAAGATTCGCGATTTTGCGCTATCATGGTGCCTGTTAGACTGTTGAAGAGCTCGCACTTGCGCACTAGTGAGGTCCCAGGGAGATGCTGATGCAAGGGTGGACCAGACTGCTATAGTGACAGGGCGGGCAAACAGGGAGCAGGGACCAATCAAATCAGGCTTTGTATACAGCCAACAGCCAACCACAATACTGCACCATTGTACAGTACAGCATAGAAAATGTCGACCAGTCAAACCCCTATCATCCCTATCATGGCACCAGCCAAAAGAAAGAAGTATGATGCAAATTTTAAACTGAAAGTTATAAACTTTGCTAAGGAAAATAATAATTGTGCTGCTGCAAGACAATATGGAGTAACAGAAAAGATGGTTCGGGACTGGAAATCAAATGAGAAAGCATTAAAGAGTATGCCAAGGGGTAAGTGTGCATTAAGAAGAGGCACCCCACACTGGCCAGAACTCGAAAAACATGTAGCAGACATGGTGGCTCAACATCGCCAAAACGGTTATGTGGTGACATGAAATACAATACGCTTGTTTGCACTTCAGTGGGCCAAATCAAATCTGATATTGTTTTACCTTTTATTTGGTGTGTGGAAGGTGTGCGGAAGAGGGAGTAGTCTTATACGGCGAGTATATAACAAACTCTGTATTTTGAGTGGAAATGTTAGGGGGTCGTCTTATACGCCCAGTCGTCTTATACGCTGGCAAATACGGTAGTAGGCCATTCAAAGGACTATGGTGTTTAGAGTGAAATGGGAGCCACCAGGGCATTTTAAACAGTGACACGATCTTGCTGAAGTTTCATAAGAATCACCAGGGCAGAAGGGGAGCCCAGAGCAGGTGCGCCACCCTGCCTGTGGGATAGGGAAGGCTTTCTGGAAGAATGATTTCTGAGGACAAGTAGTCGTTAGTCGGGCGATAGGGTGAGCTCTATGAAGCGTGCTTCAGGCAGAGGGAACAGCTTGAGCAAAGAGGAAGACAGCAGGACACCCTCGTGGGTCTGGGTAGGAAGGCAAGGGCAGAGGCCCGTGGCTTGGAGACTAAGCTAGAGGGGCCCGAGAGCAGGCTCGGGTGTAAAGCAGGGCTGTTAGGCAGAAGCAGAGCGGAGTGTCGGGGCTGAGAAGGAGAGGCGAGAGGGATCAGCCAGACGAGGAGACACTTAGAACTGAGAGCCGGGACCTCTGCCGAAGCGTGAGACTACAACAACCACAATCCTCAGCGCCTACAGTTCCGGCGTCGCCAAGTTCTGGGCCCGCAGCGGCGCAAGGGTCACGTGGTGCCAGCGTATCACGTGGGCGAGTCAGGTGACAGTGCGGGGCGGGCGGACGGGCTGCGGGGCGGACGGTGGACGCAGGGACGTGGTTTTAGCTCTGGCTTCACGGACCCGCGCCCCGCCGTCGTCGCCGCCATGACGGGGCTAGCACTCCTTTACTCCGGGGTTTTCGTGGCCTTTTGGGCATGCATGGTCGTCGTGGGTGAGGCTGGGCCCTGGTGGGCGGGGCCAGCATCCGGGCGGAGCTAGCCGGGCTGGAGCCCAGCGGGGACATGGGGTCCCGGGAATACTGGGCCCCAGCGCAGGCTCTGTACCCCGGGCTTCGGAACTTACCTCACTCCTGTCGGGGCCTCACACCCTGGCCGACGAGACCCGGATCTCCAGCCGCTTGAGGAGGGGCGCGGGGGTGGGGGGTAGGTGAGGGCCGCGAGAGCAACCTTGGTCGCTTTCTGTCGTTCCCGCCCCTTCTCCCCCCGTCTCATGGCTGTCCTCCCTTTCTTGCTCCTGACCGGCCTACTTGGGTCACGAGCCGGCTGCTCCAGTTCCTCTTTTCCTGGTGGTTTAGCCTTCCCCCGTCCTCCACCCCCCCCCAGCTTGTTGGGTAAACAGCGACTGGGACTGGGACTGGGACTGGGCCGGCAGGATCCGGTGGGGCCCGACCAGAGCCCTTGCTCTTACCCTTCCTCCAGGGTCTTCAGGTCTGCAGGTGGCTGCACGGAAAGGGTCTTGGTCTGGGAGGTGGTGTCACTGAGGGAGTGGCAGAACACGGAGGCCTGAGCAGAGGAATCTGTATAGACAGCTCTGGTTTCGCGCGGGGCGGAGGGGGTGCAGCCTGAGGACGCTCCCGTGACTTAGGTGTAGGCCGACCTTTCCGGAGGTGGCCCATCAGCTGGGCAGCAACTTCTCGTCTAAGTTGGGGAGGTTCCCTGTAGAGAGCAGCCCCTAACCCCTTTTTTCTCACTGCTGCAGGAATCTGCTACACCATTTTTGACTTGGGCTTCCGCTTTGATGTGGCATGGTAAGGAAGGGAGGGGGAGGATTCCCCTAGGAGCTGCTTCACGGCAGCCTTCCTCCTCTGACCTGAGCTCCCTCCTCCACCCCATCCCCAGCTGCCTGGGATGTGGACCTTGGGAGATAGGAAATCTTTTGTTCTTAGCATCCAGGACTGGTGGGGTTGGAGGCTGGGGGTATTTGGGGGCCCCTTCTCCTCCAGGGCTGAATTGCTTTCCTCCCTGTCTCCACACCAGGTTCCTGACCGAGACTTCCCCTTTTATGTGGTCAAACCTGGGCATTGGCTTAGCTATCTCCCTGTCTGTGGTTGGGGCAGCATGGTGAGTGTTGGGGTGGTGTGACCAGGGGGAGGGTCTGAGTCATAGCAGGTGGTGTCATTGGGTTCTTAGTTACCCTGGGAGCAGTGACAAGCTTGGGCTCTGCTCATTGGTTTCCTATCCTTCCACCAGGGGCATCTATATTACTGGCTCATCTATCATTGGGGGAGGGGTGAAAGCCCCTAGGATCAAGACCAAGAACCTGGTCAGGTAAGTTAGGGCCTTTGGAAGGTTCTAAGAACCACCTGCATTGGGAACTGCCTGTGTATTTGACCTGACATGCTGCTCCTGACCAGCCTCCCAAAGGCGTGGATGCTAGTGGGGGAAAGGTGGCTAGGAACTCTGTGAGGAGGGAGGTTGGTTTCTTTCTCATCTATTTCTCCTCTCTATTCCCTTTGCCCACCACCAGCATCATCTTCTGTGAGGCTGTGGCTATCTATGGCATAATCATGGCAATTGTCATTAGCAACATGGCTGAGGTATGGAGGACCAGGGTGGGGTGGGCATCCATTCCAGTGTGTTCTATACATTGCTTAGCAATGGTGGGGGAGGGGTGTAGGGGTGGTTTCTGACACTTCTCTGCCTCCCCCAGCCTTTCAGTGGTACTGACCCTCAAGCCATTGGCCATCGAAACTATCATGCAGGTAGGTGGGTGTGTGAAAGCAAAATGCTGGGGTTCCACACCTGCTTCCCCCTCCTACCCCAAGCTTAGACTCCTCATTTTGATATTCTGTCACGTACTTTGGCCTGCTTTGCAAAGTCGGGGTGGTGATTGGCCCCAATAGTCCACATTGGGCCCTTGTCCTCATCTCCCCTTGTGTCTGGCTTGGCCTCAATACTCCCTTTCTGTCCCCAGGATACTCCATGTTTGGAGCTGGCCTCACAGTGGGCCTGTCTAACCTCTTCTGTGGAGTCTGTGTGGGCATTGTGGGCAGTGGAGCCGCCCTGGCTGACGCACAGAACCCCAGCCTCTTTGTGAAGATTCTCATCGTGGAGATCTTTGGCAGCGCCATTGGCCTCTTTGGGGTCATTGTTGCAATCCTTCAGGTGCTGAATCCTTCTGGGGAACCTCTCTCATTCACCCTAACCCAGGCTCACCTTCCTTCCAGAGGAGCTGCAGCTGAACCCTTGGACAGCCTTCACCAGTTCATTCCCATCTTCTGGTTTTCCCCTTTTGAAGCTTTCAATTTAATTTGTTTTCAATCTGGAACATTGACAACTATCCTATTTGTTTCTCTGTTACTTTGTATATATGTTTCATTTAGTCTCCCTCTTGTTCTGTTATTTTTTTTCTGTTTGTAGTCTAGACTGGGTTGGGAATTTGTCTTTATCAGTTTGGCTTGGTGTGTTTCACTGTTTCTCATGGCCTGTGGGTATCTGTGCTGTCAGTAGGACGGCATGTCTGGATTGTGTCTTGTCTGCCTGACAGTGTGTGAGTTTGCGGTTGAGGGTCTGAGGGTGATTGTGGGTGCCTGATTGGGTTGACTCAGTGACTGGCACTGTCCACATGCCACTTCTCTCCATCTATCTGTCCTACAGCCTAACTGTAATTGTTCCTGTTCATCTCTAAGTGTCTGTCATAGCATAATCCATCCTGGTCTAGTCCAGTCAGCCATCTGTTGTCTGTCTATTCTTTCATGAGTTTGTTAGGGCTGGTCTTCCATCATTTGTCAGTCTTATCTATTCCTCTGTCCCTATCTGATTTCTCCTGTTCTTCTTTTGCAGACCTCCACAGTGAAGATGGGTGACTAGATGATCTGTGCGGGTGGGGCCGTGCCCCACTCTTATTTATTTGTGGTTTTCCTGGAACAGCTGGAGCTGTGCCCCTTAGCCTTTCAAGGGGCTTGGTGTTCAGAGCCCTCCCTGCACTCACTTCTTGCTGCCTGTCGAATTGAAGGCATTGCCTGGCTGGATCCTCAGTGTGGGGAGTGGGCTGCTGACTGCAGCTGTGCACCTGTGTCCCACCTCCAACCCCAACCCATCTTCCCAGTGTTTGTGAAATAAATGTGGTATCTGTCTGGGTCACGCCGCTTCTGTTGCCCTCCTTCGCCACCTCCTTTCAGAGAAGGGTAAACAGGCCTGTAGGCCTCAACCTCATGCCAGCCTCTTGCCACTTTCTGACTCATACACAGTCTCCTCTCTAGACAGCTGGCCCCTGGGTGGGGAGAGAAGGGTGCTAGGCTGAGGCTTCTGGAGCCCTGAACATCTTTATTGAGGGGCGCAAGGGAGTCTGGAGTTCTGGTCCCAGATGTTTCTGTCGAAGAGTGTGTGTGGGGGGGCGGTCCTCCTAGTCCTATGTCCTTGGCCACATCTATTTACCTGGCACTACCTTCAGATACCATCACTCCCTACCCTTGTGGAGCTTGGAACTCATCCGTTTGCCTACCCCTATCCCAGCACCATTTCCTGCCAGTGACTAATTTGATCCCTGTTACCTAGGGCCATATACAGCTCCTTCCACTCCTATCTCTAACCCAATCTCCTGTTAGTTACCCTAGAAACCCCAGTCACCTTCAGGCCCCTGCTACACACTTCTATCCACGCGTTTAAGGGTCCTGTCCAACTAGCAGCCTACTCCGTTGGACGCTGGCCGCCGGCAGACCCTCGATCATGCTTCCATCAATGAGCTGACAAATCCCTAACCTCCCTGCCCTAGTGGGCCTAACTTCCAGGCCCTTTCTGTGGCTGAGTTCCGGCTCCAGCACAGACCCCGCTCCTCCGAGATGGTTTTGACCCATCCGCACCCTCCCCTGCCAGGACCTTGAATGCAGCTCCTTGGATGAACCTGATTTCCTGGTCTTGTGCCACCTCCGTCCCCTCGCTCAATCGCGCTTGGCCGCCGGCAGAGACCGGCATCGGAGGCGCGCGGCGGGTACGGGCGCGCTGGAGGCGGGGGCCGCGGGGGCGCGCGCGCGGGCGCACCGGCCGGGCCTGCCCCTCCGAGGCGCCGTAGCGCGGGAGGGAGGCGGCGGCACTGTGGTCCAACGGTCCGCGGGTCCGTGGGTCTGCCCGGGCGGCGGGAGGCGGCGGGGCCGGGCCATGGGGGATGGAGCAGCCTGCAGCCGCTGGAGCCCGGAAGCCAGCCCCAGCCGGAGCGGCACCCCCTGCTGAGCCCCGAGCGCCGGGTGAGAGGGAAGCGCGCGCGCCCCTCAGCCCAGGGCCCCGAGATTCCAGACCCGGCCCAGCGATCCCCGGCCAGGACCCGGTGAGAGGCGCTGGCGGCCAGACCCCGGCCTAGCGTTTCCCCACCCCACCCCCATCCTGCGACTCCCCGTGGGCTCCTCTGCCCGCCCCCGGCCGGCTTCCCTTATTGTCCCTGCTTGCCCCGGCCTCGTGGAGCGGGGAGGCGCTCCACTCACGTTTCCCCGTTGCCTTGGCCCCCGCCCCACATCCACGCCCCCCCACCCCAGGCTCCACACCCACCGGGTCTTTGCTGCCTCCTCCATCCCGGGTGCCACGTGTTCAGGCGGCTCAGCCTTCCAGCCCCGCCCAAACGCATCTCGTAGCCTGGCGGTCAGCCTGACCCAGAACCTCTGCCCCGAGGAGGTGTGGGGATGCTTGCACGTGGGGCTGGGTGTTGTGAGCCGCCCGGGAGACTGTAGGTATGGCTGTGTAAGTGCAGTATCAGCGGCTTTGTTTGTGAGTGTGTAACTCTGTGTGTTACTGTCATCCGGGTGTGTCCCTGACTCTATATGTAGTTCTCTGTGTGTCTTGAGTGCAGATTACTATGGCTGGGACCAAGGGTGTCTATGAGGTTGTCTGATACTGTGTACCTGTGAGTGAGGTGCAGAAGCACTGCTAGAAGTGCCCACAGAAGTGTTGCTGCTCTGTTGGAACCACAGCTGGAGCCGTGGCCCAGGCAAGACCTTTTCCTGCCATGTTGAGTGCTGTACATCTGTCTCCAGGGCCCAAGCATTCCCCTTTCTGGGTATCAGAACCATCAGTATGGCTGGGCAGACCCCAGAGAGTTCATCCCAATCCTGGAGGTCTTCGGGGAGGGGTGTCCTGTGCCCCACCTTGTATTTTGACCTCTTGCTCCAGAGGGAAGGGATCCCATAAACATCTTGTCCACAACTGGGCCACCTAGATGCTGAGGACCACCTCCCAGCCTAGTTCCAGCTGGCCTGACCTGCTTGCCACTGGGACCTGTCTGACCAAACCACTGTCCACCGTGCTCCTGGGAAGACTAAGTGAAGTCATGAGTATAAGGCCGTCCTTCATGGTGGTTACTCAGTAAATGGTCTCCGTTCCTCAGATCATGAGTCCTGGGTTGAGGATGCTGCCTTGTGGGGTGTCTTCTCTGGGGCACAGGCACACATATGGGTCTGTAGGTACATGTGCTTCCGTGTTTAGGTACGAACCAGTGTGGTCAGAGGTCACATGTCCATGTTCCTGAGAATATGTAGGCGTGTGTATGTGTAGTCATGCAATAAGGGCATGTACCTGAGTGTGAGGGTGCGTGATGCTGTGCTTGTGTGTGTGTCAATGAGGATGAGGAATGCAGGTGTATGTCGATGAGTGCTCAGGTATGTGAAGATGTGTGAGTAGTGAGTTGCCAGGGACTGTCTGTGTGCCTATTTGCAGGTCAAATGTGAGTCCATGAGTGTCAGAGGGTATAAGCAGGTAAGTGTGAGGACGAGGGTCCATAAATGTGAGCAGTGGGCAGGAGGTGAGTGGGTAGCCTTGCCCATCTGGCCCTGACCTGCTGGGTCGGTTTCTCTCCTACCCCTGCTCAGGCCGGCAGCTGGATGCCTGGGCCCATTGGGTGGGCCGGAGGTCGCCTACGGGATGAGCAGATTGCTGGGGGGGACGCTGGAGCGCGTCTGCAAGGCTGTGCTCCTTCTCTGCCTGCTGCACTTTCTCGTGGCCGTCATCCTCTACTTTGACGTCTACGCCCAGCACTTGGCCTTCTTCAGCCGCTTCAGTGCCCGTGGCACTGCCCGTGCCCTTCATCCAGCCGCCAGCAGCAGCACCAACTGCTCCCGGCCCAACACCACTGCCTCCAGCTCTGGGCTGCCTGAGGCCCCCAGTGTCCGGCCCGGCTCCACGGCTCCCATCCTGCCACCCTGTCCTGACTCGCCACCTGGTCTTGGTGAGCCTGCAGGGTAGGGCCTGCCTCTAGGGGTGGGCAGAGGACCTACCCATTTTGACTGGGGGAATGGAGACTTGTCTTGACCCACGGGGATGCCAAAGGTTCAGGTCTGTTGTAAGAGGGCTATTCCTGGGGTTCCCTTGCCCACCCCCAGGCTGAGGGAGAGGGCTGGTGTCCCTGGATTTTGGTGAAGGCCTGATTCCTGCCACCGTCCTGCCTGCAGTGGGCCGACTGCTGATTGAGTTCACCTCACCCATGCCACTGGAGCGGGTGCAGAGGGAGAACCCAGGCGTGCTCCTGGGTGGCCGCTATACGCCGCCCGACTGCACCCCAGCCCAGACAGTGGCAGTCATCATCCCTTTTCGACACCGGGAACACCATCTACGCTACTGGCTCCACTATCTGCACCCCATCCTGAGGCGACAGCGGCTACGCTATGGCATCTACGTCATTAATCAGGTGTGCTGCCTGTGACCCCCCCAGGCTGGGCATGAGCACCTATGGGTGTGGGGGCCCATGTGCCTATTGGTGTATATGTGGGTTTGGGGGCACTCGTGGGTCCTTTTCTGCCCATGGTTGTGTGGACATGTGCAGGGGTACATGCGTGTCAGTGTGCACATAGAAAGGTGTGTGTGCATGAAGGGGGAGTACATGTGTTTGAGTGTTGGCATGTATACTGGCAGCTGTGTGCATGGCCGCAGTGGTGATGAGCCCCATTATCCACCCTTGGTGGGCCCCACCCCATGGCAGTGAAGGCCTAGGGTCGGCTGACTATGAGGAGATGTTGAGGGCTCCAAGTAGAGGGAGAGTTAGCCCCTGAAAGAGGAATAAAGTCTACCTTAGGGCCAAGTGCTGGCCACAGCTAAGGCCCAGGAACTCAGCTCACTATCTGAGCCCTGCCATGGGCCTGGCCATGGCTGGCTACTGGGGCCTGGAGAGGATCTGACACAGGCCCACTTCTCCACAGACAACTCTCAGAATTGGACTTGGATCCCTGTAGACTCCAGCATGATGGTGTGTGACTGGAGTTGGAGCAGGGGTCTGTAGGAGCAGCAAGGGGTCTTGTCCAGTCCTGGGGTTGGGAAGCAACTATTGAGATGGGTCTTGAGGGATGAACAGGCATCAGCTAGTAGAGGGACTGGAGGAGGCAGGCATTCTAGGCAGAGGGACCTGGAGGCCCCAGGCCCCAGCAAGAGAACTGGTCTGTGCGTTCAGGTATTGTTGGCTGAGGTGTGGGGTCAAACATGAAGGGTGGGTAACAAAGATGACCCTAGAGGAGCTGATGGAGACCAACTCTGGAAGGGTCTTAGGAGGCATGTTAAGCACTTAAAATCCAGCCTGAAGGTGGTGGGGCGCTATTGTAAGGTCTTAAGGGGGAGTATGTTTGCTTATTAGAAAGATCACTCTGATTGCATGTGGAGAATGGAATGGAAGGGGGAGACAAGAGGCAGGTGACCAGTGGGAAAAGGTTACGATGTTGGGGAAGGAGATGGTGAACATGCATATGCGCCGGCAGTAGTTGTGTGACACATGTAATGGAGAGTAAGGAAAGGGAGACGCCAGGACACTTCGAGGGCTTCTGTCTTGGCTGTTTGCTGTGTGGGTGGCTGTGCATGTGAGCGAAATGGGAACACAGGAGCTGGACAAGGTCTGGGGGAGAGCGTGACTCTAAATTCTTTTCTGCATGTGATGAGTTTGAGTGCCTGGGGGAAGTGTCAGAGGAATGTTTAGCAGGCAGTTGGACAAACGAGTCGACCTAGGAGTGAGGTCTGAAGTGGAGAGAGGTTACACCAGTATGTAGATGGTCCCTAAAAACAACAACGTCTAACCTGCCCAGGGAGCATGGAACCTGGGAAGAGAAAGCCAGCACGTGAGAGATGGGTGGAGAAAGAGAGAGGCTGCGAAAGTGGGCTGGAGAGGTTAGAGGATACCTGGAAGAGTGTGGTGCTCTCGAAGCCCAAGAATCAGTGTCAGGACGGAAGCATGGCGGCTGCATGAGGACGGCCGGGGGAGTAAGGAAGGATGTGGACCAAGAAGCGTCCAGTGGATTTAGCAACAAGGTGGGCCCGGCGAGAGCCATTTCAGGGGCATGGTGGGGGCGGAAGCAGATTGCAGTGGGTTGAGGAAGGAATCAGATTCGACAAAATGGAAATAGCCAATTGGAGACAGCTCCTTTAAAAAAAAAAAAAAAAACTTCTGCCAAGAAGGGACATCGAAAGGTAGGGCGGTGGCTAGAGGGAGGTTTTTTTATTTTCAGATGGGAGAGAATTGCGCATGTTTATGAGCTGTGTGGGAGAAACTTAGGGCTCTTGGCTGGTGAGAGAGGTTAGAAAGAAGTGCTGATGAGCCAGGAGAAAATGGACAATTACTCCAAGGCCTGGTGGGAGAGAAGGTACAGGGGAAGGCGGGACGAGAGCAAGGAAGGCTGGGCAGTTCAGGGCTCCCACGGGGCCCGGGCTGGCTGGTGGAGAGGAAGGGCCACTGTCCTTCTGTTCTTCCAGAAGGGCCCGCTCAAAGACCCCCTCTCCAGGAACCTCTCTGGCTCCAGCCTGGAGAGTATGTGTTGGGGCAGGGGGCTCAGGGGCCAGCTCACTCCATAGAATCCTCCTTGTTCTGGCCAAACTTTGGAGCTTGGGCCTGTGTGGACAGGATCCCAGCCTCAAGGAGATCTCGCCCTGCAGCCCCATTTCTCAGGGGACCCCAGGCTCACTGGACTAAGACTGCCTGTAGAGCCCATGCTTGTCATTTGGTTGGGAGACAAGTGAACCTGGCCCAGTCCTGTCCCGGTCTCAGAGGTTGCCCAGAGCGTGGATGTGGATCCAAATGAGCCAGAGGGTCAGGCGGCCGAGGCGCATAGCTCAGTCCCTACGGTTTCTTCCTCTTAGACACTGGTCATTTGGAGCGTTTGTTGTCTCGCTTCATGACTGTGCTCAGCAGGGAAGTGTGCTCGGGACTGCTCATCCCCAGGGGCGTAAAGACGGCACCTGGCACAGGGGACAGGGCCACAGGGTGTGTCTGAGTGAAGGAATGAATGGAGTAGCTCTAAATCACAGTTTAAGTGGCCACTGGCATACGTGAAGCACACGGGAGGGAACGAATAATGATGCTGTGGCGAGGAAGTTTGGTCAGGGAGGCCTTCTAAATATCCGCATAGGCCGCTACCAAATGACAAGCAGAGGAGAACATTCCAGGCAGGGGGAATTGCCAGCACCAAGACCTAGGCAAGGAGTCTGGTATGCTCTGGGGCCACTGAGGAGTATAGTGTAGCTGGGCCTTGGGGTCTGAAGGCAGTGGCTAGAGAGGAGACTAGAGCCAAAGCATGAAAGGCCTTGGAAGGCCAGGTCCAGGCCAAGGAGCTGGACTTGATCCTGAGAGCCTGCAGGAACCATGTGGGGGTTGGAGGTAGCTAGTAGGCCCATGGGGACCACTCTGGAGAGTGGTGAAGTGGCAGGTGCTTGCCAGTCACAGGACCAGAACTGATCTGTCCTCTCTACGAACCCCAGCATGGTGAGGACACCTTCAACCGGGCCAAGCTGCTCAACGTGGGCTTCTTAGAGGCGCTGAAGGAGGACGCCACCTATGACTGCTTCATCTTCAGTGACGTGGACCTGGTCCCCATGGATGACCGCAACCTGTACCACTGTGGCGACCAACCCCGCCACTTTGCCATTGCTGTGGACAAGTTCGGCTTCCGGTGAGGGTTCCCTTTGCAGCCGGACCCAGACTTCCCCACCCCCACCATCCCCATCTCCCCCCACCACACCCAGGCCCTTGCTCCCAGCCCTAGTGCCCCCCTTGCTCCTGGCCCCTGGGCATACTCTCCCCTCACCCCATCCTCAGTCCTCCATCTGGAATCCCCTCAGGCCCCTCACTGACGCCTGCCCTCCCATGCCATAGGCTGCCCTATGCTGGCTACTTTGGAGGCGTGTCGGGCCTGAGTAAAGCCCAGTTTCTGAGAATCAATGGCTTCCCCAACGAGTACTGGGGCTGGGGTGGTGAGGATGACGACATCTTCAACCGGTGAGTAGGGACTGGGTGGGGAGCAGACTGGGTGCGTGACAGAGTGCAGCAGACTGGGCGGGGCTCCTTGCCCTTCCTGGTGCCTGCTCCAGTCCGTCTGTCCCTGTCCCCAGGATCTCCCTGACTGGGATGAAGATCTCGCGCCCAGACATCCGCATAGGCCGCTACCGAATGATCAAGCACGACCGCGACAAGCATAACGAGCCCAACCCTCAGAGGTGACCCCCAGTACCCCTGACTCCAGGACCCCTAACCCCTTACTCCCTGATGTGACCCCCAGTACCATGGATCCCCAGAGGTGATTCCAAGGCCCCTGACCCCTGACTCTCAGAGATGACTCTCGGCACCCCTGACCCCTGTCCCCCAGCTCAGCCTCACCTCAGACAGCTGTCACTCCTGGTCTGGTTTCTAGAGGTGACTAAAATACAAAGGCAGGGCTCAAATCAGCACTGAGTAGATTGCATTCCCATAGGAGCCCTCACAGACTTCACTTGTGCCAGAGCAGATGGGATGAGAGATGTGAGCACTGGGCTTAGCTTCTGGGCCTGGGGACCCAGCAAAGGTGGCCTGAGCAGTGTGGGGTGGGGACTGGAAAGACAGTACTGACCCCTCTGAGATTGGAATAGGCAGCTCTGTCTCTGAGGACATAGCAGCATTTGGTGTCTGATGCTGGCTGGGAGATGTGCCTAAGGGCATCTGAAATGTAGACCAGGGTTTCCTGACAGTGCTTGGGACCGTCTGGTGCCAAACCTTGCGGTCAGGGGGGCCCAGAGCTGGATATCCCACATAAAGTTCCTTCTAGGGAGGGAGACTGGCAGTTACAGCACAAGGTGATCCGAGCAAGGTGCTGTCCTGGCAGAGTGATGATGGCAGGTGATACTAAACTGGAGTTTAAAAAGAGTTATTCATTCAACAAATATTTGTCACACACCTACCTTGGGCACAGTGATGTATTCTCCAGGCTAATGGGAGAGGCCAGTTTAGATAAAAGACAATAGTATGTCGAGGAGTATGGAATGTGAACATGCATGGAATTAGCTAAGAGTCTAACACGCTTGGGTATTAAAATTTCTGAGTGCTGGGAGTGACAGTAGATGGGGTCAGTGCTGGCTGTTTGGGGGTCTCAGATCCCAGGTTGGAGTTTCACTTTTGTCCCAGGGGCGCTGGGGAGTCATGCAAGGGCTTTAAGCAGGGAAGGGGCAGGATCAGATTTGGGAATTTGGGGGGATCACCATTTGAGCTTGAAGAAGGTGAAGGACTGGCAGAGTGGCTGAGTGGAGCTGGAGGGAAGTCCATCAGGCCTGAAAGATCAGTGGGGCCCGGGAGGTGTGTTGGGCATGAGGCTAAGTATGCCCCAGCTGGAACAGTGGGCTTCTGCTCTGAACCCAGGGCATAAGCGTGGGGGAGGGAAGTTACTGCACTGATGTAGGGTTGCTCTTTGGCAGAGTGTGAAGCACTGGGCGTCCAAGGAGCTGATGAAAAAGCAGTTCAGATAAAAACCATGGTGAGCAGGGAAGAGATGAGCGACTGGAAGAAGAGGGCTTCAGGGCCTCTGAGAGAGTGGTCAGTGTTGGGATGGCTGCAGAGAGGGATCTGAGCTGAGCTCAGAAGGACTGGGATGATCCAAACAGTTGGGATGAAGGTGGGAGTGGAGCTCTAGAAGAACATGCCAGGAGCCTTGGTCCTGTTTTAGGAATAGCCATCGTCAGTTAGTGATATCTGCCTTGGTTGGGGAAGTGGCAAGATAAGACATTCTAGCGAAAGAAACCCTGGCTGGTGGTTCCATTTACCTAGCTGCTTTTGCCTCAGATTTAGGAGTTCTCCTGGATTCTTCTTCCCCTCACCCTACATGACCCAACCATTAGCAAGTCATATCAATACCAACGCCCCCCAAAACATATCTGAGCCCATCCACTTTTCCCTTTGTGAACTCTGTCCTAGTGCAGCCGCTGTCGTTTTGCCTAGACTACTGCAATAACCTGTCCCTGGTTTCCCCCTTGCCCTTCTATAGTTCATGTTCCCTATCCCTCCCTCCCCGCAAACTGAGCTAGAAATCCCTCAGTGCCTCCTCACAGAATAAAAAACCTGCTTCCTCTGACTTACAGAGCCCTGCTAATACATGCTCTAACCTCCAAGCTAATCTTACTGTTTCTTCGCTTGACACATTAGGCTCCAGCCACTCAACTGCAAATTCTCATTCCCAGTTTAGGGTCAGCCTGGAATGCTTTTCCCCCTGCTGTCAGCTTGATATCACATACTCACCCCTTCCAAGTCAGTCATCTTGGTCTCCCTCTCCTATCTCCCTTAGCTCTCTGATGTGTTTTTGTCTGTTACCCGTCTCCCCTAGTAGAATAGACTTGTCTTGAGAGGAAGGACCTTGCTGTCTTTTCCACAGTTATGTCCCTGGTACTTAGAATAGAGCCTGGCATATGGGGACTGCTCAATAAATAGATGGTGAAGGAGTGACTAAAGGATGAGGAACAGAGATGATGGGTTTGGGGACTAAAGATGATACATCTGATACAGGACACGTTGCATTTGAGATGCCTATGGGATGCCCCATGTCTGATACTAAGACTTGGAAAGGAAGGTCTGAGATGAGAGGAATATTTGTAAGGGTGTCACAATTTGGACTCAAGGGGGTGAGATCTCTGTTTTGAGGGCAGATGCAAGAGCAAAAGTTTCCAGGCAGGTGAAGGGTAGAGGGGTGACAAGTAGAATCAACTCATCCCCGGAAGAAGCCAGGATGGTTGAGCCTTGGCCCCAGAGATCCCATATTGGATTTGGCAGTTAGCCCTGATCTGGACCCATTTCCATCCTATCTAGGTTTACCAAGATTCAAAACACGATCCTGACCATGAAGCAGGATGGCATTGGGTCAGTGCGGTACCAGGTCTTGGAAGTGTCTCGGCAACCACTCTTCACCAACATCACAGTGGACATTGGGAGGCCCCCATCATGGCCCCCTCGGGGATGACACTAATGGACAAAGGCTCCTGTGCCAAGGATTGCCTGCCAGAGGACTGACTTACAGCCTGGCTGGAGGCTGCTCTGTGGGGGATCCCCAGGACTGAGACTGTGGGCTCTGTTTTTTGAGGGTCTTCAATAGCCTCCCCCAGCTGCACCTGGGAGTTTCAGAACCTACTTTGGGGGGGCTTCCATTCTGGGGAGGCCCCTCAAGTGTGGCCCTCTCTGGGGTCAACCCTCCTTTTTGCCCCTCCCTTCCCCAGTCCAGCCCCCCTCACTGTCAGGGTCGGGCCAGCCCCTGCACTGCCTCACCGAGTGGCCTGGGCTAGGTCACTCCACCTCTCTGTGCCTCAGTTTCCCCTCCCCTGAGTCCCCTAGGGCCTGGAAGAGTGGGAGGTATGACTAGGGGGCAGTGCTGCTTCCAGGGAGAATTGTCAGACCTGGGGATCCCCCTTGCTCCCAGGGGAGGGGAAACCTTTTTCATTCAACATTGTAGGGGGCAAACTGGTGGCCCCCTGCTGAGGAGCAGCCCCAGGAGGGGACCAGAGTTGGGTGCTGTGTCGCTGCCTGGGATCTTGGGGTTGGGCTTTGCATGGGTGGCAGGTGGGGTTTGGATCAGTCTGGTTCCCACCTTCCTGTCTCAGAGGGAAGGCAGTAGCCCCAGGGCCGGCTCGTGTTTGTATATTGCACAGAAACTTGTGTGGGTGCTTTAGTAAAAAACATTAATGGAGCAGCCCCTTTGTCTGTTTGGGGATGGTAATCTGGGGCGCCGGACCCAGCCCCTGAGTGTGTTGTGGGAGGACGCCTGGCCCAACGTATTGGTCTGGCCAGGTCTAGCCCAGTCTATCCCAGGCCCCTCCAAGGGGAAAGGTTTACCCTGCCACACTGCCTCCAGGCCAAAAGAGGCAACGCAGTAATAAACCCAGTGGACCCAGATTTCTTGGTTCTTTCGCCTGTCCTGAAACCGTAAGGTGCCCAGGGATGAGCCCAAGGTGCTTGGGCTCAGGTCCCTACCGATGGTTCGGACTCCAAAACCACCTACTTCGGCTGTGGGTCCGACTCTCAGTAAGCGGGTGCCTCCAGACCTGGAATAGGCAGGGGCGGGGGCGGGGCCTGGGGTAGCGGCACAGTTTCCTGGGTGACGGCGGCGCGGAGGAGGCGGGGCTAGGGGCCTGGCTCCTGGGGACTGTGGGCAGGAACAGCGGCCCCGGAGAGTCAGCCAGAACGTGACAGAAGAGACAGCGCCCGAGCCTGGCAGCTCCGGACTGGGTAATTAAGTCGTGGGGCCCGGCGGCAGAACAAGGGTGGTGCTTGGAAGAGGCCAGAGGGCGCGACAGGCTGAGGGCGTGGCCTATGAGGTCGGGGAGGGGGCGTGACGTGTGTGGGCGTGGCCTTGCCGGAAACCACTAGGGGGTCTGTCCCGCAGGTCCCAGCGTGGGGTCGAGCGTCCGAGTGTCGCGGCGCCGGCGGGCCATGCCTGGGGTTTCTCAGTCGCTGTGGGAGCTGGTGGAGGAGCACGTTCCGTTCCCGGAGCGGCCCGAAGTAAAGAGGATTCTGGGGGAGACAACGGTGGACCTGAGCCTGGAGCTGCGGGCAGAGGTCGGGGGAGTGGGAAGGTGGGCCACACCCCAGGTCTGTCCCACGACTCGGATGATTTCCTCCGCCTCCTCCGGGTCCGCGGCTCTACCAGATAACTCGAGATCCTTTCGGATCTCACAGTCCGCCCAGCCCTCTCCTGTTTGACTCCGCCCTGCCCCTCACTGCCCCAGCTGCTCTTACTCCGGTCATTTCTCTCCCCAGTCGCAAGTTATCGTAGCTCTCCTTGCAGGTGGTGATGTTACGGTCGCTGCTCCGAGAGGCTCGATCCTCCCAAACCCCTGGCTCCCGCCCCACCTCTGACCCATCCTCCCTTCTGGCTCCCCCGCCCCTCCTAAGAGACCTTGTGCGCCAGGAACTGCGGCAGCTGCTCGAAGGTCTCCGTCAGAAGGCCATCTATGAGGGCAGGTGGGAGCCTCAGACCTGGGCCCAGGCCCAGTCCCCAGAACTCAGATGGGCTAGCCCTGCACCTGACAAAGGGCCAGGGCCACCTTTCCTGTGGTTCCCTAGAAGGAGCCCCTGAGTTTCCCTCGTGTGCACCTTCTGCAGGGACCAGACCCAGGCTTGGGTCCAGTACAGCCCCAGGGTCCTGCGTTTTGCCTTGAAGGAGCCCAGGTGTGATTTTCCAGAGCAGGAGATATTCCAGATGAGAGCTGGTGAATCCAGGTAAAGTGGTGAAAGGAGAGGAGGGATCTGTCCCTGACTGGCAGAGAGCCCCAGTTAATTGGTGAGTCGCACCTGGCTCCATGCAGGAGCTCCTGTTCTGGGGCTGGACATGTCTACTGCCACTGGTAGGCATGAATACATGAGGGCTGCAGAAGCCCAGAAAACTACCTGCCAAGCCTGGGGGCAGGCAAGGCTTCCTGGAGAAAGTGACAGGTTCGATCTGGGTCTTGGAGCATGAGGAACAGATTTCCAGGCAGACAAAAAAAAAGAAGAAAGAAAGAAAGAAAAGAAAAGCTTTGCAGAAAGAGGGAGCACTGTATTCAACATGAGTGGGCGGGAAGGAGGCTGTGGCCAGCAGTCACTTGTTCCTCAGGGTTGGAGAACAGGAATGAGGGCTGGGATAGAGAGGGCTGGGGACTGAATGAGTTAAATGAGCAGGAGTGTGTTCATAAGAAGTGAATGGCAGCAATTTATTTCTAATTCTCACACAACCCTATAAGGGGGGTGATGTCCCCATCTTGCAGATGAGGAAACTAGAGCTCAGAAAGGATCATTGATTTGCCCAAGGTCACACACAGTGAAAGATGGCACAGTCCATCTGCAAGACTCCTGAACTCCTCTTTGCACTCTCATGTTGCCTTTGTGAGAAAAGACATGATGTTGTCTAGGAGAAGTGGCATTTGTGTCCTGAAGGCCTGGGGTGAGGCAGCATAGGGAGAGTGATGTTGACTTCATCTGCCAGCAGCAGTCACAGAGACCTCAGTGTCATCAAGGACCAACTGAACATGTCCAACATTGACCAGGTTGCCGGACACTTGCGGTGAGGCCCCTGAATGTGTAGTGGGGGTGGCAACAGGGGGAGGAGACTGGGGATAGGTCTTAAAGTACTGGGACTGTGAGAGAGAAAAGGGAGGTAGCATACCTGGTGGGGCTGGGGGTGGGGGTGGGGAGGAGGAAGAGCCATGAGAGCAAGGCAGAGAGGTGGAAAGGGCAGGTTGCTGCCGGGAGGTAGCCAAGTACCGATGCCAGCAGGGGCCATGGACTGAAGACTTTTATCCTGAGGTTGGGGTGGGGGAAACCACCACAGAGGAGTTTTAAGTAGGGGAGGGGCTGTGATGTGGAGGAGAATGGAGGCAGGAAGGGTCGCAGACCCAGTGCCAAGCCATAGTGCAGAAGGAAGAATGATGCCTGCCGGGGTGGGCACTGTGAGATATGCAAGGAGTGGACATATTCTGCCTGGGAAGAGGCTGGGCAGGGGCTGGAAGGCTGTACTGGGCAGCACCCAAGCAGCAGAGGGCAAGGTGGGCTGAGAAGCAGGGCCTGGAGGGAGCTCCTGGTGAGGCTGGAGGCTGGGGCTGTGTGGAGGACTTAGCTGAGACCCAGTCCGGTGGCGCTGGTTCTGGCTGCTGCACACCCACGTGTCCCAGGAGCCTCCTGGAGAAGGAGTGTCGCTCTTTGGAGAGGGAGATCCCCATCCTGCAGGTGAGCTGCAACCCTGGACCTACCTCCTCACCCCACCTCAGCCTTTCTGCTGAATGTAGACACAGCCACCTCTCAGCTGGTGTGTGAGCCCACGTACATGTGTGTCTGTGTGTGTACATGCATGTAAAGGCTGTGTGAGTCCTGTGTCCATTTCTCATGCGTGCATTTCTTGTGTGTGTGAATCCAGAAGCCCAAGATTCTGGTTGAGCCTCTAAGTCCAAGGTCAGCACGTTTAGATTAACCTGCTGGATTTGCTCCCCAGTCTTTTGCCTCCTTCCTTTCCCTAAGTGTGGGTCTAGGCTAGCTACCAACTCACCAAACTGGGCTTTTCAGGGAGGCTGATGTGTCCCCTGGGGACTGCGCTCAGGTGGTTGGGATGAGGGGGCTGGCATGGGCTGGTTCCTGGGCCCTGCCATGGGGATCTTGGCCTCTGTATCCTACTGCCCTACCCCACCCCTGTCATAAGGCCAGGGCACTGAGCCAGCTCTCCTTGCAGCGCTGCCTGGAAGAGGAGTATACAGGGGCACCCCAGCCCTCCGAGGCAACCCTAGAGCCCACCCTGGCAGGTGAGTTCCCCGAGTAGGTCCCTGAGTTCAGTCTCCTGCTCCCTGCCCCATACTTGTACCTACCATAGAAGAGCTAGGCGCTTCATCTCAGATACACCTATTCTCCAGAGCTAAAGGAACAGAAGGCAGCCATGCAGCGGGAGCTGCAAGAACCTCCGAGGCCTTCCTGTATCTCCTCCAGCCACAGGTAAACAGAGCAGATGGACAGCTGGACAGGGTGGGCGAAGGGTCAGCTTACAACCTTCTCATGGCTGTGCCTTCTTGTTCAGGCAGCAGCCCTTAGGGTCCTCCAGCCAGGGCCTCAGACCCTTGCCTTGCCTCTGTGGAGTTGCGGCTGGGCCTTTCCACTGCTGTCTGCCTGCTCCTCCTCTGGAATGCAGGCCTCAAGGCCTGGCTGCCCCCTGCCGCTGGGGACGGAAGCTTCAGTGCAGCCCCAGGAAAAGACCAGCTTCTACCCCAATGTCCAGTGCAGTGCCCCAGGCCCCAACCTGATGGGCTAGGCATAAAGTAGGCTTTGGCTTCTGCTAGAACTCTCTCCATCTGATGCTACTGCCACCTCTCAGCTGCCATGGCCCAGCCCGCTTCATATCTAGTCTTGGATGGGCCCTCACGGGAGCCCAAGGCTGGCTGTCTGTCTGTCTGTCTGTCTGTCTCTCACCCCACCCCTTGCCAAGTCCCTGGTCTCTGGTCCTGACCATCATAGCCTTTGGCCTTTCTGCTCCCAGGCCTCCACAAAGGCCTGCTGAGTGTGGACAGTATAGAGGTCTCATCCCAGCCTTGACTCTTGTCCCTCTGGTGGACCCAGACAAAGCACAGTAGCAGCTCAGAGACAGGAATAGAAATTTCATTAAAATCTATGGACTTTAAAATCCTAGTGGTGCACGGATGGACAGGGGTGGGCGGCGCACCATTATTGCTACAGAGAATTAGAGGCAGCTCTGCCGGGTCTGTCACTGCACAGAGGGGCACATAGGATGGACAAATGGACACTGTAGGGCTCGGGAGAAGGAGCTCTGGCTCCTGAGAAGGGATAGGGCACGCGGCTGGGGCCATTTGGCACATGAACAAGGGCAGCCCAATTTGGGAAGACTGGGCCTTTAGCCTGGTGGAGGGAGGGCAAGGGGGTGTCATGTAGGGTCCCCCTCCCCAGGGCTCTGGGTTCAGACCTCCTGCTGAGCAGCACTCTACCTCTGAACCCCCAGAAACTAGTGCTTTGGGCAGCTGCTGAGTCACGGGTCTCTGCTGGCTAGGCCTGGCAGCCAGGGCTGGCATGAGGTGCGGAAACCCCAGCACAGCCGAGTGAGGTGCAGGCAGGCCCGGAAGACAGATTGAGCCCGAGGCTTGGGGCAAGGGAGTGGCAACCACAGATAACACAATTTTTACAAAAATAATTGCACAGACAAACAGGACTGGGCAGCACAGCCTGACAAGTAATACTGCACAGCCCCCTAGCCCCTCACCCTGCCCCCAGGTAGGAAATCCACATTTGCCTGGGCAGAGGCTGGGGTCTGCTCTGAGGGCAGGGACACTGGTCAGGAGGCTGAAGGCCCAAAGACAGGGACAGGTAGGGGGCCCACCCAGAACCTCAGCTCAGGGTAGAGTGTGGGGGCATCATAGGCCACATAAAGCCCAACAGGCCTCTGGGGACCTAGCCCGAGGCCCTTTCAAAGTGCTTTGGCCCCCCACTGGGCACCCCTGCCTTCCCCCTCCCCCCAGCTGCCATCTTGGCATCCAAAGGACCTGTAAACACTGGGGACACAAGCACGAATGACCGCGCTAGCAGTGGTGGCCAAGGTGACAGCAGCTGCCCTGGCCAGGGCATGGCGGGGGCAGGCGGTGACACCTGTCCACTGCCTCCCTAGTCTCTGTGGTGGGAGCACAGGGTGGGGTGGGGGCTGTGCTCATATCCGGGAGTCCTGCAGACGACTGGAGCCATTACTGCCCACCATGGGGATCTGGGCCTTGTCCGGGTGCAGTGGCTGGACCTCAAGCCCGTCTTCAGGAGAGGGCAGTATGGTGGGGGCATAGCGTCCAGTCCGGTGCTCCAGGAGGGCGGGGCCCCAGTCTCTGCTTGGCTTTGTGGCATTTTTCAAACGCTGCAGGAGAGAGGTGTGTGGGGGGGGACAGGGCGTGTCAGAAAGGAGCCCCATCCGTCCACCCCATCCAGTTACATCTGGCTGCCCCCTGTCCCCACCCCTCACCTGGAGGAAGGTGTCCCCATCTGTGCGGCAGAGCTGGAACACGGCGTAGAGTGGGATGCAAATGACAGAGGACAGAGCCATGAGGAAGCCGATGGCCACCGCCCAGCCTGGATACTGGTAGTGGTTATAGGTGATTGGCCGGTACTGGATCACCGTGAAGATGAGAATGAACTGCAGAGAGTGGGGGATGAGAGTGGACATCAGGCCCACCCAGCCCTACCCAGGCCTCAGGCCTCCTATCAGTACCCATTTCCATTCTCGCTAGAGTTTCCCAAACTTGAAAGAGGCATTTGGGGGAGGGCAGGGCCAGTGTCAACATTTGGGTAGTGGAAGAAGCAGATAGAACTAGGGGTCCCGGGTATGATGGGCAGGTAGGCACAGTGGAAGGGGAGAGGGCTGTCTTCGCCATAATCCCAAAGCAGCCAGGGAACAAGTAAACTGCCGTCACCTTTGGAAGTCAGTCTGCGCAATGGCTCCCAATAGCTCCCAATTGCCTACTGAAGTTAGGCCAAATCCCTGGGCTTTAGGGCTTTTATCTCCTCATATTGAGACCTCAGCTTATCTTTCTGGCCATGTTACCCTTGTCTCAATGTCTCAGCTATACCCAGAGTTTTCCACTTCCTTCATTTCCTCTGGAGTGTCCGCCTCTGCATCTTCTTCGGACAAACCCGATGCAAATACCACCTCTTTCAAGAAGCCTCTCCAGGTTTCCCGCCTCCTCTTGAAAGGGATCTTACATCTGCTAAGCATTTGCTTATTGGTCCCCATAGACCTGGGAGCTCCTGGGATTGCATCAGCTCTGCATCTCCAGTGCCCAGCACAGTGCCTGGCACAATCTCATTTGCTGATTTGAACTGACTTATGCAGAGAGGTGGGAGCGATGGAGAGGGGAGGGCAAAGCCCTGCCTGTCCACAGCTATGGAGGCTCCAAAGGCTAGAAACGGTGTCAGACTGGGGATGCTCTTGGGAGCCGCCTTGGGAAGAGAGGAGTGAGATGAGCAATAAAGCCTGGGGATGCAGCAACAAAAAAACTGAAGAAAGTCATAACTGTGTGGTGTCAGATGGTTACTAGACTTATCGGGGTGATCACTTCATAAGGTACATAAATGTCTAATCACTATGTTGTACACCTGAAAATATAATATTGTATGTCAACTATAATTTAAAAATACATTTAAGAAACTAAAGGAAGCAGGAAGATGATGGGCAGGTGGCCAGTGGGCCACCCAGAGGGTCTGGGTGTGTGTGTGCCACTCCCCAGGAGGGCTCAGCGTCTGCCTCCGGAGCCCTCAGCTGCGTCCTGGAGCTCAGGCTCCTTTAGTCTTCCCAGTGACCAAATGCTGGCGGTTAAGACCCACATCCATTGGGAGGCCCCTCCTGGGATGCTGCACATAGTAGGACTTTATAACAAGTTTCCTGAATAAACCTAGATCCTGATCTATTCTCAAATCCCTTATTTGAACTGATAGAATTATGGAGTTTTTCAAAAAGAGCTTTTCAGAAATATAAAGAAGCCCGCCCACCCCACCTCCAAAAAAACACAACAGCCCAGAAACACATGTCCACAGAACCTGAAGTTGTCACCTTAGTAACTCCAGTGCACAGAGGGCATTGCCCACTTTGCCTTACTCTCTTGGAGACGCAGGACCCAGGCCAAGTCTGTCCCTAGAGTCCCTTCTTGTGTCCATCTCCTTCCTGCCACCTGCCCTGCCTTGCTCAGTGCCCCAGGTCTCTCCCCAGGGCGGCAGCTTCCTCAGGGCTGTAGGGATGAGCTCCCCTCAGGCAAGGCCTGGGCCTCACCCGCCATCCCCAGAGGGCATGGCGTTTGGCTGTGATGCCTGCACTCCCTGGCTTCTCACCACTTAGAAGAGACTTCCGCTCCTCCTGTTTCAAAGCTGGGCCAGTGGCCAGAGCTGGTGTCTGTGCCAGGCTCGGGGAAAATCCCACACCCCATGTGGTGGAGGCCTCAGCCCTCAGGGGCCTTTTGTTCAGAAACATGAGCCAAAGTGGAAACCCAGTGCTAAGATCCCTGTGGCACAGAGAAGCTGGTGTGACAGGGGCATGACTCTGGACACTGCCCTTGCTACTGGGCTGAACCCTCTGCCACTCAGAAATGGCGCCACCTCTTCTCTGTGGAGTGACCATCAAAACCCTGTGCCCCGGTTTCCCACCCTGAGCATAAAGGAGCAAAATCAGATGGTTTTAGTCCATGGACCATCCCTCCTTCCTGTGGTGGTTTCTAGCGTAGCACTGGTCCAGCACACAGGCTTCAGATTGTACTACCTGCTTCCAGTGGTGGCGCTGCCTCTTATTAGCTGTGTGACCTTGGGTCTTTTATTTAACAACTCTGTGCCTGCTTCCTCATCTGTAAAGCGGGGATAATAATGATACCTTGGAGGTTGTATTGCATGAGTTAATATGTAAACAGCATGTAGAAAATGCTTGGTACCCGGCCATGGTGGGAGTTCTCGTCGCCAATTCAGCTCCCAGATGGCTTTCCCAGGTGTTGAATACTGGTGGGAACCAAGACCTCCCTCTCTCGAGTCAGCTCACTCCAATGCCTGGAAGGCTTACAGGTTGCCCCTGACCCTGAACTGACATCTGAGCCATGCAGCCTGCTTCTGGACCACTTATGCATTCACACCAGGGCTATAATGGATTGGAGACAGGAGCTCAGTGAGGCTGACAGAGGCTGAGGCCAATATCATAATGGTTCTTGAGGCCCCCCTGGGGATGCCATGCAGGAATGCCAGCGGGGAAGGGCTAACTCTCAGCTGCTACCAGCTTCCTTTCCCCTTCCAGACTGGGCACTGTCTTCAAATTAAAGGCTCTGTGCTCCCTTCCTACCCCCTAGGCCAGGGCCTGGGCAGTTCCGAGTCTCCATATACCTGTCTGACTCTGCAACTTCCCTCAGACAACCGTGGGCCCGAGTTGTGGAGCCCCAAGGAAGCTCTGGCCAGCTGGATGGGCTCCTGCTCTCCCTCTGCTGGTTCCCAAGAGAAGGACACTTGCCACGAGGCAGCAGGGGAAGGGAGGGGCCAGCCCAAGAACTTACAAAGATGATAACCGGAGAGACAAAGCGCCAGCAAATCTGGAAGAAGAAGGGTGGTGGGAATCCCAGCATCATCTGGATGTCCTGGAAGTAATTCCGGTGCCCTGGAGAGAGGTGGGTCAGTGGGCTGGCAGGACAGTGTGGGCAGCCCAGGGGCTGAGACTCGGGAGGCCATGGGAGGTTGGGCACTTACCGTAGATGTACATGATGGATACACACATGATGCAGGAGATGACGACCAAGGAGAAGCTGGCCGCATAGTTGTCCATTAGTAGCAGCCAGTAGATGCCTGCCTACAGGACAGTGGGCAGCTGAGTCAGGAGTGCAGAGGCGAGGCTCCCCGATTTGTTATTCTCCCCATATCCTGGCAACTCCAGCCCATCCTTTCCCTCGGTTCTTACCTGACTGGTGAGGGGGATGCCCAGCAGGAAGCCAGCCACAGCCACGCCCAAGGTCACGTAGGTCTTTTTCTGCAGGATCCACTCATTCCCCACCTCATCCACAATGGCTGTGACCAGCGTCTCCAGGAGGCAGAACTGCAGGATACAGTTATCAGAGTGGGGTCCTGACCTCTGCCCCTACCCCTGCCCCCCAAAGATGCTGGCCCACGTCTCACACCTCATACCTGAGTGCCCAGCCCCAGCAGGATGAGCATGAAGAAGAAGAGCAGGGACCAGAGTGGGGAGATGGGCAGTAGTGTGAGCGCCTCCGGGTAAGCCACGAAGGCCAGGCCAGGGCCGTGGTCTGCCACACGGGACACATCCACACCCAAGTGATTGGCCATGAAGCCCAGGATGGAGAAGATGACAAAGCCAGCGTAGACGCTGGTGGCACAGTTAGTGATGCTGATGATGACGCTATCCCTGAGGGAGAGGAAAACAGCTGAGTTCAGGGCATGCAGTTGGCTTCCCTCTGCCTGATTTGAGCCAGGAGAGGACCTGGACACAGGGAAAGTTCTAGAAATGAAAGAGCCCCCAATCTCTTTTCTGGTCTACTCTGGGCCTTTTTAAGTGGGCCTGAAGCCCTTGAATCCTGGGGCATCACTGTCCCCATCCCTCTTCTCTCTCTTGCCAAGACCCTCCATCCAGACCCAGCCTTCCCAGAACCTCAAGGCCATGAGTGGAAGGGAGGGCCCTAGTGGGCCAGGAGGCTGCACTAGATCTCGCGGGGGGGGAGGGGGGGGCAAGCTCTATCTGCAGGCTGGTGGCAGAGTCTCACCGGTAGCAGTTGTTGTGGAATTTGTTGTAGGAAGCCATGGTGATGAGGCCTCCCCACGCACAGCCCAGTGAGTAGAAGATCTGGGAGGCAGCATCCCCCCACACCTGTGGGGAAGGAGGGGCCAGCAAGGAGCTGCGGTCAGAGGCAGGCGCCTCTCTGCCCCTCCCTGCCCCCTCTGAGTCACCCTCCACATCCCACCTTGGCCTCCAGGATCTTGTCCCACTGTGGGGTCAGGTAGTACATGATGCCGGTGAAGGCTCCTTCCAGGGTCACACCACGGACGAACAGGATGGTCAGCACCACATAGGGAAATGTGGCCGTGAAGTACACCACCTGCACAGGATGGGTCCACTGGACTCCTCTGGGCTCTTCCCAACCTGGGGCCACCTCCCTGGTCCCCAACCACCACTGGACCTCTGGGCCCTCAACCCCTCCCATGTCCCTCCATCATCACACACACACCCCAGTTAGGGAAGACAGGACCTTGCTGGGCGGGCACAGACCCTGCCAGAGGAGGGGTGCTTACTTTCCCTGAAGACTTGACTCCTCGGATGAGGCAGAGGAATACAACCACCCAGGAGACGCCGAGGCAGCCCAGGAGGGGCAGTCGCACCTCCCCAAAGTTCCCAATGTCGTTTGACAGCTTCAGCACGTACAGCCTGAGGAAGGGGATACTCTGTCATCAAGGGCCAGCCCTGCTGCCCAGCAATAAATTCCCAAGTCCCAGGGCCCAGCTTGGTAGCTCCCTCATTTCTCACAAGGTTCTGGGAGCCCCCTTGTGAGATGGGAACCACTGTGGGGCCCCAGCCCTGGCCAGCCCAGCCCCCTCTGCCTGTTGCTCCTAGGGAGTCCACTGCTTGCAGCCTTTCTCAGGATCCCAAAGGCAGTCCTGGAGTCCACACCCCAGGCCTGGGCCAGCCTCCTCAGTCCCTTGAGTCTGGGGGTCTCCCAGTCCCCACTCAGGCCCACATCCAATCAAATGTCACTCCCTCCAGGAAGCCTTCTGTGAGTTTTTCATCCACCCTGGTCTCCATCTCTGATGAACTGAGGGAGGCAGCAGAGTGCTAAGTAAAGAGGCTCTGGAGCACATGGGCTGAATTCCTCCTTTCCGTATGCAGGGCTCTATCTGACATCCTATGCCACACCAACTATGCTCTTTCATTCACCTGGACATTTACGTTTCAGGCCCCGTGCTAGGTGCTGGGCATATAGACCTGGATCAGGCATTGTGGGTACTGCCAGGAGGGGCTTTCAGCACCATAGTGAGGGGCACACTGGAAAGCTTCCCAGAAGAGGTGAGGTTTGAGCTAAGACTTGAGGAATGGAAAGGAGACAGGTAAAGAGAAGTGGAAGTGTGTGCCAAGCAGAGGAAAGAGCACATGGCAAGACAGGGGTCACGAAAGACCATGGCCCAGCCTGGGCTTCTTGGTAGCTCAGAAAGGCTGGAAGAGAACGTGAAGGGAAGAGAGAAGGACAAGGGATCGTAAGGGACCAGATCATATGAAGCTATGAAGTCAAGGCCAAGAGTTTGAATTTTATCCAGAGGGCAATGGTAAGCCTCTGAAAGGTTTTTATAACAGCACTCTCAAGGTCTCTTCTTGGCTCAAAACCTTGCAGCAGCTCCCATCTCTGGCCATGGAAAAGCCAAAGTCCTTACAGTGGTTACAAGGCCCTATGTGACCCATTGCTCCCTACTTGCCATCTTTCTGATCTTTTCTACTTTCCCCCTTGCTCACTGCTCCAGTTGCACAGGGTTTCTTCTTGTTCCTTAAACATGCCAGACATGACACCTCAGGGCCTTTGCACATGCTATTCCCTTTTTCTGGAGTGCTCTTTCTCCAAATATCCTTATGTACACATGGGTGTACAATGTGTGCAATGACACAAGGGCCCCACACTCAGAATGGCATTCTACTACTTAGTTTAATGCTCTGCCATTGCCATCTTGAAATTCTTTTTTTTCTTTAATTTTATTGGGGAACAGTGTGTTTTTCCAGTACCCATCAGCTCCAAGTCAATTAGTTGTTTTAATCTAGTGTGGAGGGCGCAACTCAGTGGCCCATGTGGGGATTGAACCGGCAACCTTGGTGTTGTGAGCACTGCGCTCCAACCAACTGAGCTAACTGGCCTCCCGCCATCTTGAAATTCTTAATACATTTGAACAAGGGGCTTCATATTTTCATTTTGCACTGGGCTCCACAAATTATGCAGCTGGGCTTGTCAACATGGCTCCCTCCTTCCTCGCTTCCTCCAGGCTTTTACTCTGGTGTCCTCTTTGCCAAGCAGCCTTCTCTGGCTATCCTACTTAAAAATTGCAGCTCTGGCCCCAGCCCAGCAATCCTTATCCCCTTCTTTGCTATATTTTCTTCCACAGAACATGTATTCTTCTATCATACTGTAAATTTTGCCTATTTATTTCATTTGTCATCTGTCCTCTATGAAGACAGGGTGTGGTGTTTTTTTTTTTTGGTCTGTTTTATTCACTGTTATATCCCCCTGGGATTTGGGATTTGTTTGGCCAGCCTGCCTGACTGTTAAACTTGCAAGCCCCTTGGCCTACCTCCTCTTGGTCTCAAATCTTCCTCCAGTCCGTCCTTCACACCCTGACCTGCTGAGGGCACTGTCCAACACCTCCCTCTCCTGCCCAACTCCTGTCACTGGGATGGTTCCATCAACAGGCATCAGAGCCAGGCCCTGGGCTAGGCCTTCACAAGGCTCTTAGTCGATGGAGAACCAAAGACTAATGGAAGGGAGAGGTTCAGAGGCTGTGGGACCACAAGCAGAGACTCTTAGTCCCCTTCAGCAGTGCTTTCCAGCCTTTTTTCCTTTTTGGCTCATTAGAGAAAACAGACAAAATCACAACTGGGCTGGGGACTCCAGGCTGCCCAAGCCCTGCCTGACTGGCATACCTACTGAGGGCAGATCCATGTTGAAAACCTCTGCCCACCAGATAGCCACAGGGTCCTTCTGCTAGTACTCGGAGTCACTTTACTTCAAACACCGGCATTCACAGTAAACAAACCATTGCTTGTTCAAAAGATTATTTTAAACTTAATTATATAGGTTCAATTGGTAGCATTTTATACTATTTTTTTAGCAAGAGTATAGCATTACAATACTAGGAATTAAAGAGTTTTAGAAGGCTAACCTGGGAACCAAATAATGAACTCTGCCTTTGTTTTGATGGCACCATATTTAGTTTTTTGTTTTGTTTTTGGACCATGTGCTTTTTTATTTTTATTTTTAGCTGAGTCATCCTGCCACCTGTTGGCATCTCAGTGGCAGCTCAGCTCGGGCCGGGCCAGGCTGGGAATGGAACCGGTAACCTTGTTGCTCAGAGCTTGCACTCTTGAATGTGCTCTTAACCAACTGAGCCACTCAGCCTGCCCTAGGACCACATGCTTTTGAGATCAAATATATATTAACCTAAGGATTTTTGGAATCCAATGTATTTACAGGTTGGTTCTTGATGCAGAACATCTCTGGAATCATTCTGCATTATTTTTTAATTTCCCCAACCATATGGTAAAATAAACACCTTGAGAACAGGATGTCCTAAACTAGTTCTTTACCTCTCCAGCAGTGGCTATCATTGTGCTCACTGAACACTTGTCACTGTTTGTTTTTTTTTTCTTTGTTTTTTGTTTTTTTTTTAGCTGAGCCATCCTGCTACCTGTTGGCAGCTCAGCGGCTGCTCAGCTCGGGCTGGACTCAAACCGCTGTTGCTCAGAGCTCAAACTCTTGCGCGAGCTCTTAACCAACTGAGCCACTTAGCCGGCCCTCACTTGTCACTGTTTTTAGAGATTTATGCTGCATTAACTTGTTTCATCTTTATAACAATAAGGTAGTTTTTGTAAGCACCCCCATTTAATGGATGAACAGCTGAGACTTAGAGAGGTTTGGTGACCTCCCAAAGCTACACAGCTGGTAGAACTAGGATTTGAGTGAGGTCTGTGTGACGCCAGAGCTGCCATGAAGACACTGGGAGAGGGGTGCTGGGATCTGAGTCCCACTGGGTGTCAGGTGCTGTGCTGTCCTGGGCACCACAGGGGTTGTGGAGTGAGAGGGCATGGTCATGAGCTTAGGGCCCACAAACAAGAGTCAGATCAGCACACAGAGGACTGCAAAACAAGACGGAGAATAGTCAGTGAGGGAGGGAGGACCGTGGGCCAGAAGGGCGAGCGAGAGGCAGGCATGGGCTCAGAAATCTGCCCTCTGGGCTTCTCTCACTTTAGAGGAGTTGCTTAGCCTTTCTTTTGATTTGCTTTCCTCTTTTTTTCTTTTCTTTTCTTTTCTTAATTGGGGAATTGGGGAGGGGATACAGTGTTGGGGAATTAGGGAAGGGGAACATTGTGTTTTTCCAGGATCCATCAGCTCCAAGTCAAGTTGTTGTCCTTCAATCTTAGTTGTGGAGGGCGCAAGCTCAGCACTAAGTTCAGTTGCCGCTTTCAATCTAGTTGCGGGGAGGGTGGGAAGGGGAGTAATCCACCATCCTATGCGGGAGTCGAACTGACAATCTTGTTGCACACTGAGCCATCCAGCCGCCCGTTGGTCAGCTCATGGCTGCTCAGCTCAAGGTGCCGTGTTCAATCTCAGTTGCAGGGGGGCGCACCCACCATCCCATATGGGTGTCAAACTGGCAACCTTGTTGCTAAGAGCATAGCTCTCACCAGCTCAGCAGCAGCTCAGCTCTGGCGCAGCTCACTGGCCCATGTGGGAATTGAACAAACGACCCTGTTGCTCAGAGTTTACACTCTTAACCAACTGAGCCACTCGGCCAGCCCACGTACAATTCTTTATATTTTCTGAGTAGTAGTCCTTCATTGATTATATATGCTGCTTTCGTCTTTTGTAAAATGGGAATATTTTATAGTACCTGCAGAAGCTATCTAATAGGGTTGTTGTAGGACTCAAATGAGATCATGCAGTTTTCCAAGGGGGCGTTGGAGAATGTGGACCAAGAACACCTGCTGAGTATCATGGGCCTAATTCACACCAGACACCAGGCCCAGAGGAGCCCGATGGACCTGGGAACACATATCCTGACACAGCATTGCTGCCTAGGTCCCTAACCTCTGAACATCAGTCTCTGAAAAATAGGGATAATATTATATGATAGAATATGTCTGGCTCATAGTAGGTGCCCAAGAAATGGGGACGCTTGCTCTTCGTTTTGAAGCCAGCCTGGGCGGCCCTCTCAAGGGTCACTTCCCAGTTTCTCCAGGAGGGGGCAGCAGGGAGCCATCATGCAGGAAAGGACTCCAGCCTGGCCTGGCTGCTAGGGTAGGCAGGCCTGGCTCCAGTCCTGACAGAGACGTAGAGTTCAACTGGCCACCAAGTGGAGCCCCCACCCATGGCTAGTTTTCTTTGAGGGCTATTTCCCTCTGATTGCACTGGATACAATCTCCAGAGCTTTGCCCAGGCGTCTCAACTGGGCTGGGAATCCCTGGCAGACAGCCCTGGGGTAAGCACTTCTGGAATATCTCCGTGGTTCATCCACAGTCCAGGTCAAGTTGCCCAGGCCACACTATGCCTCAAATGCAGTAGAACACACAATTGGGTACTTATTATTTGCTTAGCTCTCCCATTAGATGTGAGCTCCCTGAGAGCAGTGTCTGTGAGTCTTACTCCCCATTCTCCCTCACCTGAGTGCAGTGCCTGGTCCCTGGTAGGTGCTCAAGAAATGATCTGTCCAGTGACTGAACGACTGAGTTTGCCTGGAGTTAATTTTGCCCAATCCTCACTGGGGAGCAACAGTTCTGTTGTCTACACGGTGAGCCAACCCGCCCAACACACACACACACACACACACACACACACACACACACACACACACCCTTGAATGTCTATAGACCAGCACAGAGGCTGGGCCTGCAGGGTTTGAGCTCTGGGTCGGGGCTTAGAGGATATCCAGCCACTAGGACTTCAAGTATCACTGGGGCCTTTTCTCCTATGGCTCTTATCACCTAGCGGAGAAAGCCTCAAACCCTCAGCCTGGCCTGGGCAGCCCTGCACCATAATGCCTGCTGCCTCTCCTGTATTAATACTCAGTGTCCCACCTGCTCCCAACCCAGTTTACCACCTCTTGGCCTCATGTCTCTTCCAATCCCTTCTCCCCCTCCCTCCCTCCCTCCCTCCTCTGAAAAGCCTTCTTAGCTGCCTCCTCTTGCCTCCACCCCCTTAGAACTGACTGCTACCCCCTTTGTGCCCCCAGCACACCCCTGTGCGTACATGCACCAAAGCACCTGCCCCGATATGACTGGCTACCTGTCTCCCCACTGGACTGTGAACTCCTCATGGCAGGAGCCCTGTGCCATTCACACTCCATGGGCACACAGGGACTGGCAGAGCTACGCAGTGAATGTTTATGGAATGAATGAATGAGCCCTCTAGCCATGGGCTCCCAGTAGGACATGGGGAATTTCCTCTAGGCTATTCTGCTGTGCCCTCACACCCACCCAGTTGGGACAAGGTGTGCCAGAACCCTCCAGCAGCAGCTGCTCTTCAGTCAGCTCTGAGACTCTTCTGGCCTCTGCTACCACAGAGCACCCGCTGTCTTTCCTAAGCACAGCTTGATGACAGCCCCAGGCTCAGGAAACTTCCATGGCTGTAGCATTAAATGCGGTGTTGTGCAGCGTTAAATCTAAGCTTAATTCTTCTAAGTTTTCCCAGAAGGCTAGTGCCGCCTTCTAGGCCACCTCACAGCCCATGAGTTCCCCCCACATACCTGTTACTCTCCTCAGAATAGGTTCTCCTCAGTGTCAGGACCAGCCGGTGCTCATCTGGGCCCCAGGGCCTTTGCTCATGCTGTTCTTCTCACCAGGAAACCATTCCCCCTTTTCCTGACTCTCTCTCCTGTGCAGACCTGCCTGATTGCTGAAGCCCTCCTTCACTGCTAGCTCGTAAAAGGACTTTCCAACTCCTCCACTGCTCTCTGTGTGTCAGCCTCTTCTCCTGAACAGACAGTGAACTCCTTACACCTCTTCACACACCTCTGCCCTGCCTGGTGCCCAGCAGAGGGTTAAACATGCAGCACGCACCCTACCAAGTCTGCAGACAGTTGTCTGATGGCGAGAGAGAGGGCTGAGTGTTGGTACCACGTTTCCCCAGCCCAAATGCAGTGAGGGCCTCACCTCCAGTACTCCTCGCTGGGGCTTGTTCTCTGGAGGGTGCGATTGAGCAGGTGGGAGAGGTTGCTGGACAGGGTGGCAGGCTGGGAGCCATTGGTGAGGTTGGAGGCGTCCAGCACGCCGGTGCAATCGGGTGAGTTCCAGGGGTTATTGCAGTAGGCCCAGGGCAGCACATGCGTCATGGATGAGAAGAAGTAGTAGAAGGCAATGCAAATGACCACGTTGTAGTAGATGCCGATATATGTAGATACCACCATCATACCATAGCCCACACCTGGGGGAGCAGGAGAAGACAGCAGCCTCACACATCTAGCTGAAGGAGGAGAGGTTAATTTCAAAGGGCCCAAGGGAGAGGCTTTCATGGAGGCCACAGAAGGGACAGGTCAAGGCTTTGGCGGGGCAAGCTGGAGGGTGAAGGGGTTTTGTGTATACACATGGTAGGAGGGGAGGATGGGGGCCAGGCAAACATGGATACCAGCATGCGTCCATGGCTTTGGCCATTGATGTAGGGCTTGGGGTCAGCATCAGGGCTCCATAGGGGTTGGCAGTGTTTGTACAGATGGGTGAGTCTGCACAACCCCCAGTGGCCCGTGTGTGTGTGTGTGTGTGTGTGTGTGTGTGTGTATTCTACCCAGGCCTCACCTTTGAACATGGGGCTGATCCTCCAGACCCCCAGACAGCCCTGACTTGCAAACTGGCCGAAGGAGAGCTCCATGAAGAAGAGAGGGATCCCGCAGAATATCAGCATGATGAAGTAGGGGAACATGAAGGCGCCTGGCAGGCAGGGAGAGGGCTGGCTCAGGGGCAGGCTGGGGGATCCCGCCCTCTTTCTGTTCAGAACCCAACAGCCAAACCTTTGTGATTGGCTAGGACCCGAGGAGGGTGTGCCATGCACTGGGTCTGAGGCACACTACTCAGGACCTGTCTTTGATCTTGACAGAGGCTCCCAGGAAGTGTGCTCTGAGCAGAACTCAAGCCACTGAGCCACCATGTTTAGGTGGGATTTGATGGCTTAGCCAAGCAATTTCACAAACATAAGTCACTGGGATCCTCAAATGTCCCTGAACTATTTAGGGGGCTGTTGAAGATAAAAGACAGGGAATAGAAGACAGGGAACCTCAAGAGGTTGCACTGCTTTTCTCCACCTCTCCTCACTTTGAGGGAGCAAGTTGGCAGGTCAGGGCCCAAACAGCAGACTGCCAGGGTCAGGGGTGGTCTGTGCCTTAGGTAAAGGGCACCTAAGCAGGGATGGGGGCAAAGGAGATCGGGGCCATAGGCCAGCTTCTCTGGAGTGGCGTCTGTGCCAGGGAGGGGGTGGCTCAGGCCCTGGTGGGTGGGCTCTATTCAAGTGGGTGGTCCCTGCCCTGAGCCCGCTGGGTACCTCCCCCGTTGCGGTAGCAGAGGTATGGGAAGCGCCAGACATTGCCCAGGCCCACGGCATAGCCCACGCTCGTCAGTACAAACTCGATCTGGTTGCCCCAGTTGCCCCGTTTGAGGTTCTGGTCCCTCTTGGTGGCCTCGCTGGGCACAGCACCATTCTGTAGGGACAGGAGAGAAGCTACCATCAGAAAGGTACTTGTGCTCCCATGCCTGACCCTCTGTGCCCCCCCCCCAGTGAGGGCGTTATGGACCCTCGAAGCTCCCACCCCCACACTGGGCTTCCCCTCTGCTGGCAGGAGTTGCAGGCAGGCCTGGCAGAGGAGAGGAGCAGTCAGGAGTGGCTGCCAGAGGGCGCCAAGTGGGGCCTCCCTCACCAGCCCCCCAGCACCCCGTGCCAGGGGCACCAGCCCACCTGAGGAGCTGCTGCCAACTTCTGACAGGTGGGACACTGAAAGGGAGCTAGAGTCGAGAGCCGCCCCGACCCCCACCCCAGCCCCTCCAAAGTCTCCTCTTTCCCCTCTGGGTGAGAATCTGGGAGCAGCTGAGCCTCATACCAAGCAGCCAAGTCAGGCTGGGCACAAAGGGGCCTGTGTCCAGACAGCCCCCCCGCCGGCCACCACCACATCACCAGGCTGAGCACGCTGCCCACTACAGGCGGCTGCGGAGGAAGGGATGCTGGACCCCTCCCCCAGCTGAAGTCTTTTTCCTGGGGGCACAGGGTGGGCAGGGCTATGGGGTCAAGGAAAGCAGGACAACTGAGCTGGGCCAGACCTGGGGAGGGCATTCTGGGACTCAGGATGGCAGGGCCCACTGGAGCCATCTATATTGCCCATGGCTCCGGAGAGGGCCCTGGAGAAGCTGACCTGGGATGGGTGGTGCTGGCCATGAGTTGGGGGAGGAGGCCAGAGTTGTAGGCACCACACCAGGCTTAGAGGACAGACTCTGCCAGGGGAAGCAGAGGGTATGACTCCAGGAAAGGGTCTCTGAGCTGAGAGGGGGGAGTTGCAGAGGAGGAGGCTGGTCAGGAGGCGGTGATGAGGGGATTTGCCCCAAGGGAAGGATGCCAGACCTGCCTGGGGAGCTGCCGGGCTGGGCTAGGTGGACTGAGGCCCCGCTGAGGGCAGCCCCTTTGGAAATCCCACCTCCACAGTTGCAACTGGCTCAGCAAGTCCCTTTATAAGTGTGAGTATGCCCCTTCCACCTCCTTCCAGGTGAGATGGAAATCAAGCTACCCTGAGCCAGAGCCTGAGGGGTCAGAGGGATCTCACCAAGAGACGTAGGGACCCCAAGAGTCACCAACAGAGAAGTACAGAGAGTCCTTGAGTGACAGAGACAGCCTCACAGAGATGGGCTATTCTGAGTGAAGCGGACAGGAGTCCCTGGAGGACACCCAGGATCAGAGACAGAGCAGCGTGGCCTCTGAGGGACAAGCAGCAGTGATGTTGACCCTCAGCTTGAAAGAGGTATTCAAGGACAATTGTCACGCTGGCCAATAAACAAAGAGGCCTAGTGCTTTGAAATGCGGTCGGACCCTGACACTGACTGACAAACACAGAGGGGAGGAATGGCCTCTTGGGGACCTGGGCGCCTTCTGCAAAGACACTGGGAATGCAGACAGAGAAGGCCCCCACTCCCAGTGGAGGCCCCAGCCGTGCACCCCTTGCTCCCACACTGAGCACATTTGGTCCCTCTGGGCTTACACGCCATGGACACGACAGCACAGACAGCCTTGTGGAGAAACCAGTCTGCATGCTTAATCTAGCATTGTCCCCAGCAGAGACACTGATCCTCATGCCTTCCTGGAAGGTTTGGGGGGCACAGCCCCAGGAGCCACAGAACCCCCTTCAAGAGGCACCCAGAGCAACTGGCAGGCTGAAATAGCTTGCATCCGTTCATTCATTGATTCATTCATGCAACCATGGAGATTTATTGACACCTGCCATGTGCCAGGCCTTGCACCAGGCACTAGGAACTCAGCAGTGAACAGACACCCCACCTACTCAGGGCTAAAAGTCTAGTGAGGAGCAAGCCATCAATGAAATAAACAAATAACCCAATTTTTATATGCGACTCCAATGTGACCACAAAGGGGAATTTCTCAAGTCACAGGAGCATGAAGGAGGGCAAGGGGTGGGGATGAGGGCAGGGTGAGGCCAGGGAAGGCCTCCTTGACCCAGAGGCCTGAAGGCCAGCTTGGGAGAGGGTGGCTTACAGCTCAAGTGTGCCCTCTGTGACAGACCCCTACAGAATCCAGCCTAATCCTGTCACCACCTCCCGGGGCCTCCTTTGGGACAGGCCTAGCAATACCGCAGGGTCAGGGGTATTTTTGGAGGATGTGAGGCCTGCTTGGGGTAGTTTATTTATTCCCAAACAAATCCCAGCCGAATAGGGCTCCTATATATTGATACCCTACAATAACAGCTTCATTCTATCCAAGGCTTGTTTACTTAGGGGCACAATGGGGGATTGTGCCAGCTGCAGAGTATGTGGGTGGGGCCACAGAGCAGCGGTTACAGCTCTAAAAGAGACAACCCAGGATCCAGGATGGCCTCATGGGCAGGGCAAGGGCAAGGCCCCTAGAAAAGAGGGATGTTCCCCAAGGCTTGAAATTTGAGGCCTCTCTCCTGGCTCCAGCCCTCTGACTAAGTGCAGCAGGAACAGACTTGGATCTCTGTGATCCGCTCCTTCCCTGGCATGGAGGGGACAAGGAGGGTGGTGATGCCCCCAGCCACACGCCACGGGCAGCTGCTCCACTGAGCCCTTCAGAGCCGGCGTGCTCTGTTAATGAGCAGTACACCACAGAGCATGCGCTAACCAGTTCAGCCAGTTGGCCGCCACACAGGGAGCCCACAACCCCCAGCATAGGGGCCTGGAACTTGGGGGGAGAGGATTGCACTCTGGTGGGAAGTTACCCACAGTATTAGGGGTCTGCTGTGCAGAAGGAGCTGGAGGTCAGCGAAATGGCACGCTGCCCCCATCTTCTGTTTCCGGCCCTGAATCTCAGCACTGTGGTGTCTCAACTGTGGGCTGTGGGTGGGATGCCGCCTGCGGTGGAACGTACAGCGAGGCCTCTGACTTCAGTTCCAGCTCGAGCTATGTTCAGGTGGCTTGGCTGGTCAGGGAGGGCTTAGCTTTCAGCGGAGGACAGAGCAAGCCTGCCTTGCTCCAAGTACACAGGTGGAAAGGATCTCCGAAATGCTCTGTGGGTGGGTGGGGGGTGTTATAGGGACCCCAGCTCCTTTCCTTCTCCAGCCCCCCTCTGGACTCCCTTCCACTTCCTTCCTGTGCAGCAAGGTCCAGGCTGGAGAGACGTTTTCAAGGCTGCATAGTTTTTTCCTTCTTGCATAATCGTCCCTATTCTAAACCTCTCATTTTCTTCATCTGCTGGATGGATGGCTGTGTCCCTGCTTTTAACTGTCCTTGTAGTGGTCGCTGTCTGTGAGGCACCCATGAAAGAACCCCTTTGTGTTCACCCAGACTCAGTTTGACCCAGACTGGTGGCCCAGCTGCCTAACCCAGCTCAGCCCTGCTGACTAGCCAGGCACCTGCCCATCACCCCATCTTCCACTGCCTATCCATCACTGTTCTCTCTCCTTCCCTTGCTCACACCTCGGTGGTGAATTAAACCATAGTGGCCTGGGGACCCTCTTGGTGGGTACCTCCTCCCCAGGCTCCCTGGGCAGTCCCTATCCTCACCCCTGACTCCCCTGCCATGGGCCTGGTGGGTGGTCTCTAGGATGAAGAGTATACTGCCCTGTAACTGAGCTCCCCCAGGCCAGAATGCAGACTTTGGAGCTCTCTTTCCACAGCTAAGTGACTGCCACCATACGTAGGCGCACACACATGACCCTCAGAGGCCCCTTCCCCATAAAAGCAGTCATTGAAGCAGCAGTGTCCATCTCTGCACAAGGATTTGTGACCTGTCTTGGGTTAACAACCCCCAGCCCCAGCAGTCACTTATATAAGTCCTTTACACAGCCCTCTGCCTGGCTTATTCACTGCTCTGGATGAGCTCCTGGGATTACGGCTGTTCAGCTCTGAGGGCAGAATCTGAATCTCCCACCATGTCCTGGGCTTAGCAGGGCAGGAGCCTGCACTGGGTGTTAGAGCCCTGGTGTTCTGAAGCCCGCTCCCCCAGTGACCCCGGGCAAGTCACTTCCACTCTTGGCTTCTTAGCATCCTTATCTATGAAATCAGAGGAGAGACTAGACAATCTCAATAGACCTAAAATTCTGTACGCCTGCCTTGCCTAGAAGTTTGCTATTTCTCACTCTCCTATATTTTCCATTAGTTCCCGCTAGTTTTCTAGGCTACTTTAAAAAAAAATGTTGGTATTGCTTTTTTTCCCAATTATAAAAGCATTATAAGCTTATCACACACAAAAAATTGGAAACGATAGCAAAGTATAAAAGAGGTCACAAAGCTGCAAAGCCGGCTCCCAGAGGTGACCAACATGGGACATACCCCTCCTTTATCTATGCACGGACTCAAAGACAGCCTAGATTTCCACCCTGGGCTATGGCTCTGCTCTGACTCCTGACTCCCACCCTCCTATATCCGTGTCCACTGGATATTTTTGTGAATTGTGAGCTCCCTCCCCCTGCTCTCCGTGGACACTGAGGAATCCTGGAGCTGCCTGGCTGGGCGGGCCCCGCTGGGATCTAGCAGGCTGCTTGTTTGGGACTCTGCAGCCCCAGGGTTTGCTCATGGGATGAAGTCCATCCAAGACAAACTTTATGGAGGAGAACGGGCAAGACCCTGTATCCCAGACTGACCTTGAGCCAAATCCAGATCGCTGGCAACTTTCTCTGAGCCTCAGGGGGAAATTTAAGCAGAACAGCCATGACAGCAAATTGTGGCTGCCTCAGAAGAACAGCCCACAACCTCCTCACACCCCTCGGTTCTTGTTCTTGTTCCCCTAGTTTTCTCCCATCAGTCCAGGGGCCCAGCTGTTCCTTAAGTAGCACCTGTCCTGCAATCACAGAGTCTTCTGTCTTCCACCTGGTCTCACTTATCCAGACATGGGAGAGAGTCAGGGCCATGGCTGGAGGAGTGAGGCCATGAGAAAATCTACCCCTGATCAGTACACAGGGGCTATTAGTGCCTCCTGCCTCAAGGGAAACCTCAGAGTAATCTCTGGGCACCTGTCTGGCTTCCA